TTAAGATGGAACAAGCATGTAAAGAAATCTGAATTGGTAAGATTCTCTACAATGAACCTTTCACATACAATCACTCGGAATGACTTTGTTTACATCTCATGATCAAATTGTGAAGAAATGTTGAAAAATAAGTGGAATTTTTAATGCTTATAGCATCCTAAAGTGATAGAAATATGGGAATAAATAAAAAATTGAACAATCTTTATTGTTGGGATGCTCGAATTCTTATGTGCTGATGTTTGTAATCGATCTGTCAGCAGAAACCTGAGCCTGTGTAAGAGAAACGCTTTAGTCGGAATATCCTGTCACTACCTGATCTGCATCCCCTGTCCGATTCACGCTGCGCATGTGCGCTGTTGTCACGCATGCGTAGAGAATATTACTTTTGCCGAACTACCTGATGTGTAGCGCATATGGGTAAGCACTGGCCATAGTTGAGCTGTAACAAAACAGCTGTAATCTTCAGTAGTAGTTACATCTCTTCTGTAAAAGGACCATTAGAAGCCACTCGGATTAAAACCTTTGCTTTCTAATGGGAACTGGCTGAATGGTTTCCAGTAAAGAGCACTATTTTTCTGTAGAACATCTTTAGATCCCATTAGGAAACCATCAAATGCATTTAGCATGAATCAGCCTTCGGTCACCTGTTAAACCATTAGGATCTGTTACACTGTAGTATCAGATCCTAAAATATAGGCTCAATCTCAAATGGCTTCCTACTCCCTATGTAGTGCGCACTAAGTAGATCATTATATTACAGCTTCTACACACAAACAGTGCATTATATGTCCAAATAAAAGCCATTTATATTCAGTCAAAGTTGCACAACATCCTGTCTAACATTTAGTGCACTGTTTGATGTAGAATCTCTGATTTTATGACCTGTGTAGTGGACTATATAGGGAGTAAGGAGCCATTTGAGATTCAGCCACAGATATGCTGTCATGCTAAACCAATAATGATAATAATTGAGCAGGTTGTTGCCTGTACCCTCGTGTCATTGTGCTCTGACCTGAATGTTTTTACCCATTGAAAGAAACCTAATAAGTAGTATTAAACAAGAAAAGTGAGACTGCTTATGTTATTAGGAGAATATAAAATGTATACCAGTTAAAGAAAGTCTGTTAGGAGCAACCAGTGATAACCAAATGGCAGTTTGTCATCTGGTTGCATTTTATGGGCACAGATTTCAATGCTAACAGGTGGGCTTTTTCAAGGAGTCGTTATGAAGCCACATTCACATCTTTTGAAATTTAGCTTTTTATGCTCATAATATGCTTTAAGTTAATATGGTGATCACCGGCAAAACCAGCAAATGTTGTGTTTTAGATGCTGGTATACTTGTCAGCCACCATGACCATGCTGGGTGACCAGCTAAACCAGCACCAGACCAGTTTAAAACCAGCACAGACCAGCTTAAACCAGCATGGGATGCATGCATGCATTTTGAAATAATTTAAATTATGGTGGAGAGCATATGCAGGGCATATTTTTTCACTGGTGGTTTTGGATAGTAAATAAAATGGCTATATATTCATATTACACCCCTGGTGTAACACATGAAACACATTCATAGTTAGGATAACTATAACACGTAAAGTGCATCTAAACCTTCTGTGTTCAACTTTCTGTTCACACTCAACTGAGACTGGTATGTTTGGTTATTCCACCATATTTTGTGTTTTTGGGCCACTATTCTGAGTATTCCCTGATAAGATAGCTTCCTAATATCCTGTAGTTCCTCTTAGGCAACAATAAGATTAATAAGAAAGACAATGGAGGCTTTTTTGTTAAGTCTCATGCTGTTTAGTTATTTCTCCTTTGCAAAAGACCCCAGTAATCTCATGTCTCCTCTTGAGTTTTAACAGACTCTTTTTTGTCTAATGCTATTTCTCTGAAGAATTTTATTAGAATCGCCATTAGGTTTTCTGTGCCTTCAGAGAACAATATTTGCACAATAAAATCACTGTTGTCTTTTTTAAAAACACCAAGTTAACACCAGTTATAGGACTTTGTAATGATGGGTGTGCTGATATACTGCTTTATATTTTCAATGAATATTTTTTGCCATGTAGCTCCCCATTCCCCCATTCATTAAGATGACTCCATTTGTTCAAAAATAAGTCATTTTAATTATATATATACATATCTCAACCACATTCAGGTGAAAAATAAAAAATGTTAGTTAGTGTAGTATTTTTATTGGCCAGCAGATGGTGGCATTGAACTGTATTTCAACACGGCGGTAGCAGAGGTAAATCAATTTTTCAAAGTTTCAGCATAATACAGTCGCTGAGATGGAAACAAAGTCATTCAGAGTGGTTTGTTGTGAAATGCTCCATTCTAGAGAAACTTAGACAGTCAGAATTGGCCACGGCACTAGAGATAGGAACCAGAGTTTAATGCCTCTAAAAACTAGTTGTAGACATTGGGCCTCAGTCACCAACTATTCTTAAGATTGGATTTCACTCAGCCACTGACAGATTTAACTCAGTTACTATTGTATTTCACTCAGACACTGCACATTTAACTCAGATACTGCTGTATTTCACTCAGACACTGACAGATTTACCTCAGTTACTGTAGCATTTCACTCAGACACTGACAGATTTACCTCAGTTACTGTAGCATTTCACTCAGACACTGACAGATTTACCTCAGTTACTGTAGCATTTCACTCAGACACTGACAGATTTACCTCAGTTACTGCTGTATTTCACTCAGACACTGACAGATTTAACTCAGATACTGCAGCATTTCACGCAGACAATACACATTTAAATCAGTTACTGCTGTATTTCACTCAGTCACTGACAGATTTAACTCAGTTACCATATGCAGTGTCATTTCACTCAGACACTGCACATTTAACTCAGTTACTGCTGTATTTCACTCAGACACTGACAGATTTAACTCAGATACTGCAGCATTTCACGCAGACAATACACATTTAAATCAGTTACTGCTGTATTTCACTCAGACACTGGACATTTAACTTAGTTACCAAGGTATTTCACTCAGACACTGCACATTTAACTCAGATACCGCTGTATTTCACTCAGACACTGCACATTTAAATCAGATACTGCTGTATTTCATTCAGACCCTGACAGATTTAACACAGTTACTGCAGCATTTCACTCAGACACTGCATATTTAACTCAGATACTGCTGTATTTCCCTCAGACACTGACAGATTTACCTCAGTTACTGCGGTCTTTCACTCAGACACTGCACATTTAACTCAGTTACTGCTGTATTTCACTCAGACATTCACAGATTTAACTCAGATACTGCAGCATTTCACGCAGACAATACACATTTAAATCAGTTACTGCTGTATTTCACTCAGTCACTGACAGATTTAACTCAGTTACCATATGCAGTGTCATTTCACTCAGACACTGCACATTTAACTCAGTTACTGCTGTATTTCACTCAGACATTCAGTTTGCACATGTGAATATGACATTTTCCTGGTGAAAATTAATTTCTTACAAATAAATACTAGTACTAGTCAATTGCACTTTTCACATATATAAATTAAATTCTTGAGACCAAGAATAATAGGAAATATAACCTAAAACTCCTTGTCAAAATAATTAAAATTTTAGCATGTCAATTCTATTTTTAACTGTGTGAAAAAAAATCACCTGTTAATGTTAATTAATGTTCAACTTCAATTTCTGTTAGACAGAAATGTTACTGCAATTATAATGAGCTGAACAAAGGCTTGAATAATTAGCAGTAAAATAAATGAATTTACATGCCTAAATACAATTTCTACAATTAAAAGTTTAATTTTAAGATTTTTATACATGCCATTATTTTTAGTAACAACATTTTCTGATAAAGAAACTTTGCTTCTTGAATAAAAGTTAGAAGCATCTTTACCAAACATTATTTGCAGCACTTCTTCCCTCTTTAAAGCTCTGTTTCGGAGAACTTAGTTTTTCTTTTTTTCTTTATTTTTGTTTCCTTCCTGCAGCCAACTGGAGCTTCACTTTTTGTGGGTCTTTTATATGTATGAAGTCATTTACATGTGGATTTTGATTGGCCCTTGCCTAGGACACCAATGAAAATACAGCAGCATCAAAAGACACTGCCACACTGTTACCACTGAAAATACTGCCTATTATGTCAATTTTTATAACTTTGTCATTTTTACCATCACTCATAAAAAAATATTATGCACTTAATACTGTACCTTTTAAGTTGCCTGATCTACTTTATCATGTTTTCATTTTTGGAATCAAGAATCAAGAAAACTCTTGGTATCGATTCCATTGATTCATTTGATTGATCACAATTAAGAATGTATATACACAAACACTGCCCTGCGATGGACTGGCGACCTGTCCAGGGTGTATCCTGCCTTCCGCCCAATGACAGCTGGGATAGGCTCCAGCACCCCAACGCGACCCAGATGGATAAGCGGTTTAGATGATGTATGTATTTATGTATGTATACACAAACAGCCCTATTTGGCAATAAGATCATGCATTTCCTATTATACTGCTACTACTACTACTACTACTACTAATAATAATAATAATAATAATAATAAACAGACAAAAAGTTTAGTATGCATTTTTTTATTTTCAATTATATATTCAAGTACATACAATACATGCAACAATACAGTCATCCAGCAAAAACTCTAAAGCAAAATGACCAGTCCTCTTAAAAATCCGTCTACTTCCTTAGACTGTGTTCAGATGACGGAGCGTGTTCCACCCAAAGCGGCATTATATCCTACGGTAGCTCAGCAGAGAGCTAACAGGTTAACAGGCTACTCCAAAAATATTCTGCTTGAAATTGAAATATTTACTAAATGAGTCACTGAAAACTGTAACATACAGAGTAAGATACATTTTAATTTAATGTCTTACATGCTAAACTGCCACAAATAGCATTAAACCCAGTGTGGGTAATTGAATTAAGCTGCTGTTAGCTGGGTACTAACATAACATTGCACATCTCACAGATTTAGTGTAAATTAGCACTGCTGTAATGATGAAATATGGTCTACTTAGTATAGTAAAAAACTAGATAGCTACAAATTGCACCCATATGGTACCCATATTGAAAGGCTGGCATCAGCTATTTCTTAAATCTGCATTTAAAACATAATAAATATTCACCTTGTATAACCTTCATATAATAATTGTTTCCAAAAGTCTTTCTATTTACCTGTTTTTTGAATCATTGTTTGCATATGCTTCATATATGAATATTTACAAACTTTGATACTTGTCGTGCTATGTATCCTTGATCTATCCATTTGATTAGCTCCGCTTATTATATAGTTGCACTCTGTAGTTCTTCATCTACATACTGTAGTCCATCTGTTTCTCTGCATCTCCGGTAGCCACCTTTCACCCTATTTTTCAATGGTTAGGACCCCCACAGGACCACCACAGAGCAGATATTATTTGGGTGGTGATCATTCTCAGCACACTGACATGGTAGCAACACAGCGGTGTTGCTGGAGTTCTTAAACAACTCAAGTGACTGCTGCAGAACAGTACATCTACAAAAAATATCCAGCCAGCAGCATCCTGTGTCAGAAACTGATCACCGATGAGGAACGGATGTTAAGATGACTATCACAACTTTATATGTACAAGTTAGACCAACAAGGTAGGAGTGTCTAATAGAGTGGACAGTGAGTGGTGTTTAAAAACACCAGCAGCACTGCTGTGTCTGATCCACTTGTACCAGTGCAACATGCACTAACACGCCACCACCTTGTCAGAATCACTGCAGTGCTGAGAATGACCCACCACCTAAATAGTACCTGTTCTGTGGAGGTCCTGAGCATTGATGAGAAGGGTGAAGAATGGCTAAAAGATTAGCCTAAACTACAATCTGTAATTGTAGAACTACAAAGTGCACATGGACCTGATAAACTGGACAAGGTGGATACGAGGTGTGTACTTAATAAAGTGATTGGATTTCAAATTTGAAGATCTCCAGAAGTCCAGCAGTTTGGCCTCAGCATTGCAGTCATGGCACAGATTTTCTCACAGTGTGGCAGCGGTTTATCTCTTGAATTTCACAGCGGCGTACTGGACACGCTCTGTGTTGTCTTGAGGACATCTGGAGGACGCAGACTCCTCAGTGCAGGAATGTGAGAAATGAATGCTAGAGTAGTGAAGAACATCCTGAGCCAAGAAAGACAGACAGATGAGTTATGTACCCCATACTTAAAGATGTCATATGAAATCCCTCCTTCCTAAAGCACTCACCTGCCTACTTTGCCCAGTGCTTCCATGGTCTTTAGCTGGCCTGGACTTTCTCCTCCTGAAAGATAAACAACCATTGCAGTGTTTGTTGAAATTGATAACATGCATTCAGTTGAAAATCATGTTTATATCACATTAATCATTTACATACCACAGCCATACAGCTGCTATGATGAGTATTAGAACCAGAAAGACTGACGCTCCCACTATTGCTCCCACTGTCGCATTCTTTGACATCGAACTCTCTGGAGCTCCGAGACCTCCAGAAATAAACAATGGTAAGAGAAAGACGGGAAGAATTAATATGATACATTTTAGGGCTGACCTGAATACCATTTTCTGGGCTTCGGCGCTTCGGCAGTAATCTACAGCAAATATTCAAAGCTTCGCCCCATGTGGGAGGGACCCACGTCTGACACCCATGTTGAAAGCACATCCAGGGCTTCATCCACTGTAAAATCCTAATCTTCAGGCTAGCTGATTTCCTTGCTGTGGTACTCACCATGCAGCTTTGCTACATTTACCAGCACTGCAGGTTTCTCTTAGCAGTGGACTAGTAGGTGATAGCACAGTGCATGTACGGTTTAACACTTCATAGTGGTGGTCTAATTTGAGGTACATGGCAGCACTAGTAAGGATCCAATGCAGCGGGGCACTGATAAAAATAAAGCTGCATTATGGACTGTAACCTGAACTCATTTAGGTTTCTCCTGAGAATCCTGAACAGTTTGCATTCACCTTTATTAATAGCCTACATTTATATGTATATATATATATATATATATATATATATATATATATATATATATATATATATATATATATAATAATTAAAAAATGAACACATACTCAATGAATGCATATCCGAATAGGCAAATATTTGGGGCCAGCCCTAATATATTCATGATCTAATGGGGTTGACCATGCTAGTCGACTAGTCAGCTAATAAATCCACTAGACAGCACTGTGGACAGCAGTCAAATAGTTGAGGATAATGCCTGAAATGCAGTTGTGGTAAAAACTGCAGTGACAAGGCAGTTGAAAAGAACATAAATATCTTTTCTGCTAAACACAAAGCCCAAAGTACCTTACTAGAAATACCACATGAAACAGCAACAATTACACTGCAAGCTTGCAAAGACTGTGTTGAAATATCAGCCTTGTGAGTCTGACCTGGTAAATTTTGAGAAATGTGCCATTTGATGATGATGATGGCATTCAAAACACCCAATTACAGACTGACATGTGCAACAGAAACAAACTTGGAATAGCAGCAATTTGTTGTTGTCTTAACAGCAAATTATAAAAAAATAGATAAAGTAAGGCTGTTTCCTTACATGGATTACTGAATGTTTGATCAGGAGAGCGGAACTCCTCGTGTCCTTTCAATGCACAGGAGTAGTTGCCTACATCTTCACTGCATTTCAGGTACAGCTTGTTGTCTCTGGTGAGTTTGTTAGTTACAGGCTGTCGGTTCTTGTACCAGATGTATGTGGGGTTGTTAGGCAGAGTGCAGGCGCTGCTACACATCAGTGTTACTGTCTGGTCATCTGATGCAGTGCTGAAAATCACTCTCACCTGCAGAGCTGAACATGCAGAAAAAATAAAGAATTCTTGTTTTTAATCCATTAGCAAATCCACAAAAAGAGCCAACAAATAGAAAGAAGTTCAGAGTAGTATGTCACCTGTAACACTCAGAATGATTCCAGGTTTACCAGAGAATTTTCCTTTCTCAGAGTCAGTGATAATTCGAAAGTAATATTCTCCAGAGTCGCTCTCTTTCAAATCTCTCATTCTCAGAGTGCAGTTTCTCTCTTCATCTTCAATAAACTCCACTCGACCAGTAAACTGCTTTTCCTTGCGTAGGTCTTTTTGCTCCTGCTTAGACCAGTTGTAGTGCCAGAATGCATCCCTGAATTCTTTACCACTGGGATAAGTGTAAGTGCAGTGAAAGTCCACTGATGAACCCTGCAAACCACACACTCTTCTATTTGTGTAGTTCACACTCCAGCAATTCTTACCAGAAACACCTGAAAAGATAAAGGTTATTAGAAGATGTTATTTAAAACCACACTGGCATGTTTAAAGAGTCCTTTTTAAAAGCCTCAGCAGGTCTATTAGCTTTAGTTTTTTTCATTGTTAACAACGTTAAATCATGTTTCCTCGACATACTGACTACTGACTTATATTTAGGACTATAAAATTGAATAGAGCACCACTTTTTGGGTAAGATAAAAAAAAAGAAAGTGCATCCCTGAGTTCCACTTTATTTACGTTTTCTGCCTGCATGGTATACCAAAACAGAAAAAACAGAAAAAAATATTTCTAGCATCACTTGTACAATTTCAGCAATCAAAAACTTTTTAGCCCCCACAATGTTTCTCCACTGCTAATGTGCGAGAGATGGATAATGTAGGAATAAAAATGATTAACTAACACATAGCTTGTTACACCTGCTTTGACCAGCAGCAGGCCTCTGTTTTTCTTTTCCTTACCCTTTGGTGACTGCGGAGCTAACTGGCTAGCAATTAGCAATACAAGTTTGGACCATTCAATAGACAATTCAACTAGAGAACTGGCCATACAGTTACAGGTGTGCAGAGCACTGTGTTTTTAGCTGTTAGCCCTGCAGAGGCTGTGCTTCTGCCATGTTTGATGCTGTTTTCAGCAAATTAAAAATAAAGCTGCATTATGGCCCATAACCTGGAGTTGTTTAAGCTTCTCCCGAGAATCCCATATGTTATTGGTATTTTACAGTTCGCCTTTACTGATAGCCTACATTTAGCCAAAAAAATAAAAAATAAAAAAAACAATATCTAAATCCCAAAATTTAAAACCAAAGACCTACTCAATTAACGCATATCTGAATAGGTGAATATATATATATTTTTTTTGGTAATAAATGTTGACTATATGAGCTCTGGCCGAAATCATTAATCGCAATTAAAATGCGATCACCTGGTCACTGAAGGGTAAGGGGGAGGAAGTCCCCTGGCTGAAATTGGTATAACATGCTAATTGTTTGCATTAGCTCCAGGGTTTTTTTTTTTCAGCTGGTCACCCTTATACTTACACAATGGAGAGGAGAGTATGTCGTTATAACCATAAACAGAGCAGGAGTAGCTTCCTTTATCATCATCATCATTGGATAAAGAAAAGGGATCACTGTAGTTTGTGTCTTTCCCTGTAAATTGTCCATTTTTGTACCAGAAGTAACGCTGCCGGGCAAAGGTCAGAGGGCAGGAAGTGTTGCAGGTCAGAGTGTTTGGCCTGTTTTTCTTCACCTGCAGGTCTGAATGGAGTTAATAATGTATCATTACATAACAGATGAGTATAACTGAACATGTTCTACAGACTGGCTGCTTTATTACCTGTAACTGTTAGATTGACTGCAGTTGAGCTGAGATGTTTCTCTCCTTGTTCTGTGATGATCATGAGGTGATATTCTCCTGAGTCTCTCTCTCTCAGCTCTCCGATTGTAAGAGTTGAGCTGGAGTTTGTGCTCTCAATGTTCACTCGTCCTGTGTAGTCTGAGTCTGAAGCTAAATCCTCTGGATGTTCCTCATTCCTCCATTTAGTTTTCTGTTTAAAGCTGAACCAGAGTGCAGTTTTGATCATGATGTTTGAGTAAGAGCATTTCAGCTTCACCTCTGAATCCCGCAGGGCACAGATAGTCTTAGGACTGCAGGACACACTGACACTCTCACCCAGACAACCTGAAACAGAAAGTTAAATTACAGATTGAGAAAAATATGAACAAAAAAGCAAAATGCATGTTCAAAACACTTGTAATGACAGCAAAACACTCTTGCAACTTGATATATATCTGGAAAACGTAACATAAACTACTATAAATAGCATAAAACAATAACAACAATGAGAACTTGAACCTTGAAGAATTTTTATTTTCCATGTCTGATCAATGAACTATTCAAAAAACGCAAGTACAATTTATCCTGCTAAAGACCTGCTAGACAAGTGGTTTAAAAAGCACAGTTTTTATCGTTACAATCTTTCTTTACAATCATTCTAAACAAAAAGATTTTGGTGAATGAAGGCCCAGCGTTCTGTGGGTGAGGTTGTACTGCGGCCAGTCACTAGAGGGCATCAGAGACATTTCAGCTTCACTTAGAGTGGTGGTTATAGGAACCAGGGGTCACCATATCTACAACACAAACATAGCCTTTTTATTTACTTTCCAAAACCAATAGTGAACCTACTCATGTCTTCTGAGTTTTTAAATGTCATATTAATGATCCTAAAATTGTGTTTAGTCTGAAAAAAAAAGTTTTCTTTGGTGGGTATGTACCCCTCCGCCATCAGTGGATTTTAAATAATGTTTTAGGCCAAAATCTTTTTTCAAAAATATCATTAAACAAGCATCAGACAGTGTATTCATGGCCATTTCATGTCAATAACGTTTTATCAGGGAGCCTTTAAAAGCATTAAACACATCAGACATTTGGTTACTTTCACCACCACTGTGGACAATCATGACTCTGCAAGTTTCTCCAGAAAGGAGCGTTTTACGTCAGTAAGTCATGCCATGCCAGCAACCGAATTACTGAGTGTGTCTGAAATTACTTGTGATGATTCAGATAAGCTTGCATAAGGCTAAACTGGTGGACATAAACTTTTTTAGCCTTAAAGCTCCAGTACAAAAATAAAGAGCCTCCGACACTAAAGATTAGCTGATCAACTAAACTAACGGTGTTTTTTTGGCTAAACTGCTTTAACATTACAAGAGAAACTACAAAACTGGTCTTAGATCAGCCAAGAACTGCAACATTTATCATTGTAGCATTCGTGACATGAATAAAAACACTGTAGATGAGCTAAAGACTTTATATTCTCCATATAGCAGGAGAGAAAGCAAATTTTCATTCACTATCGTAAATCACAGTTTATTGACTCAGTAATATAGTATTCTCTGTAGAATGAGGACAAAAATAGTAGGCCTACCTCTAGCATTCAACAGTATGACCAGCAAAAGGATTCTGAAGTCCATCCTTCCACTTAGCTAAAGAAAACAGAACAATGTGACTGTTTTCCCAAGTAAATTCTATTAACACACGGAACAATAATGTACATGGATGTACTGAACACCATATTCCATTAACACATGATACCCTAATGTGCATGGATGTACTGACCGCCTATTTACAGATTTGTTATGGAATTCATTGTAACAATTTACAATAGCGTTCCTTAAATCAGTGCTTACCTTAGCACTATGTAATTAGTTAAGTATTAAGTATTACTATAGTAGTTTTTCATTAATCACTCCTTCTTACAATAAACTACTCTTACCTAAGTGCAATCCAAGCTTAAACAGCTGTGGTAAATACATGTTTAATGGCTCTTAACTAATGCTTTAGTTACTAAGTTAGTAATAAGCTGAGGGGAACTCAGAAAATTTTGGGGGAGTAAAAAATGCCTGTAATTTTAGTTAATTTTTAGAATCATGCTTGTATTTAAACTCTGTAAGGTCTACAAGTATTACAGTACCACTCTTATTGCAATGTTAAGTTTTGAATGGAAACAAAGGGGTTAAATTTTCGAAACACAGAGCAGAAAATCCGAAATTGTTTTTCTCTGTGGTATCTAGGTAGATATAGTTAAGTAAGTTCTCCTATTGTTTAGGGCTTCAGGAGCTGAAGAGAAGTCCTAAAGCATTAGATTAGCCATCAGCATAATGACAAACAGAGGAATCAACCAATCATGTTTTGATTTCCAGTGGGGGGGACCAGTTTCGTGGGAAAAAAGATGCCTCTAGGTCTTCTGGAAGAAATAAAAAACAGCAGCAGCAGCAGAAGCAGCAGCTCTATTCCAGCCTTTGTACTGAGAAAGTCAGATTTTCCATCCCACTTTAACCTTTTAAATTTATTACCCGCTTCTATATCCTAAGAATAGCTCAGCCAGTTTGCTTTGAAGTCCCTTTAGTTACTGAATAATAAGCCTTAGTATGAAATAAGCCTGAGATTTTAAGGGATTGAACAGTGCAGCAGATACATTCTGCTGTCCAAATGCACCAGAATATCACTGCTGCACCGTTTAAGGTGGAGCAGAAAATTGGAATAAGAAGCTAAATTCAGCCTCGTCAGAAAGCATTCATGCAAATCACCATTAGCTTAGCACTAACAAACTACTAGAATCCTATAGAGATACTAGCGGAGGTTAGCATTATCGTAGAGGTGGGATTTTTTCTCATGTTTTGACTGAGTTGTGACATTTGTGTCATTTTTGACATTTGTGACACTAGCTTTAATAGTCACAGTTTGCCACAGTAATAAGTAATCAAATGCTGCTGTATCAGTTGTCCTCAGTGTAATAAACCGCATGTCTAATGAAAGTATAATCATTGTAGTAACTGTATATACATTTAAAGTGTCATTAATTAATGCTTATGTAGTTGGTTGAAATCAATGCTACACTTACTAATCTATCAATACAACTTTATATGGCACATATTGGGGTTTTTATTAAGGTCTTAGTCTTTTTTCCAATAAAAAACAAACTAGACATGTCCAAATGGTTTATTCACCATGCACTAATCTTTATTCATTATAATAGGAACATAATTGGAGGTCTGTTATGGGAAAATCAGAAATAAAACTTTTTTAAGCAAATTATTGAACATGAAGCCCTCGTCTTATCAATTAACATCTTATTAGTCTATAATTGGCAACATTTTAGTCCTATATGTTCTAGGTTCTGTGTTCTCACTGTGTTCTCACTGTGTTCTTACTGAAAGACTTTGCTTACATCTTAACCATTTAATTATACAGACATATTGAAAAATCTGAAGAATTCCTCTTCAAAATAAAGTGTCCCCCTTATTATTCTTATTATTCGTGGTTTCACAAGTGATGTGGAAAATCAATGCAATAAAACCACCAGTAACAACTAAAAGCTTTAATCAATGCAATAAATGATTAAAATGAGTAGCAGTTGCAGAAGAGCTACTGTTGTAATACTTTATTACATACTGCTTGGCAATTTTCACCAATTTTTCAAAATGACTGAATATATAAAAGGTTAATATGTAAGTATTAGCATCAGAGTGGTTTGGTGTGAAATGCTCCATTCTTGAGAAACTTACATAATCAGAATTATTCACAGTGGTGGTGGTAGGAACCAGACGTCCAAAGTGTTTAATGTCCCTAAAAGCTATTAACATGAACTAGGTATGAATACATTGTCTGATGCCTGAGAAATTGTTTTATGACAGTTTTGGGGAAAAAAAAAAACATTTTGGCCTAAAACATGTTTTGTTTAAACCATTCATGGTGGAGTGGTACATGCAGAGTGTTGCTCGGCAAAATAGTTCCCAAAAAAAACTTTTTTTTCAGATTGTACCATCATCAGCACCACAGGTAAAAGACACATGAAGGTCCACTGGTGGTTTTGGATAGTAAATAAAATGGCTATATTTGTGTGGTAGACATCACAACTCCTGGTTCCTATCACCACCACTGTAAAGTTTCTCTACACTGGTCCATTTCACATCAAACCTCTCTAAATGACTTTGTTTACATCTCAGCGACTGAATTATGCAGAAATTCTGAAAAATCAGCGTCATTCTTTAAGCATTAATAAAGGAACTGTATTGTAAAGTATTATACCAGGTTCATTACTATCTACTAGACAGATATCAAAGCACAGTAAATGAGTAAACATAAAGCAAGTGTACTTACTTGCATCCTCTTGGCACTCCTCATAAGTTAGCTGCAGTACGGAGTGTGTCAGTGGTGTGTGTGCGGGCGCAGGTTATGAGCAAAGGAAGGAGTGTACAGACTTGATTTACTTCCCTTTTTTTCCTCTACATGTTCACTTGAAGTAATATAAACAGTCACGAAACGGTTAACATCAGCTGTTACCTTGTTACTTCATTCATTATTGTTCTTTATGAAAAATGACCAAAGATATCAATCCTTTTCTAGTTTCTAGTGATCTGTTGGCACTACTTGAGCCACAGTGTGCTGCGAAAAGTTGGTTGTGAAAAAGGAAAATATGAATCAATCACAAGTGCTTTATTTTGCATCACTGCCCATGAACCAGGCGGGTGGTTATATGTCATACTGGATGTTTTTTCCATTGTCCTGCATTAACATTCTCAGGCACAGTTGCTCTTGTTTTTCCTTACATATTTCACTAACACACACGGATCACGGCCATTATTTGCATTCAACCCCAATTTCCAGCCCTATTTACTGATGTCTTTTACATACACTGTATGGTCAAAAGTATGTGGACACTTGACCGTCACACCTATATGAGCTGTTGGACATCGCATTCCAAAACCACCGGCATTAATATGGAGTTGCCCTCATTTTGTGGCTATAACAGCCTCTGCTCTTCTGTGAAGGCTTGGAGTGTGTCTATGGGAATCTGTGACCATTCAGTCAAAAGAGCATTTATGAGGTCAGGCACTGACATTGGATGAGAGGGCCTGGCTCATAATAAACATTCCAGTTCAACTCAAAGGTGTTCAATGGGGTTGAGGTCAGGGCTCTGTGTAGGCCACTGGAGTTCCTCCACACCAAACTTGTCAAAACATGTCTTTATGGACCTTGCTTGGTGCACTGGGGCATAGTCATGCTGGAACAGGAAAGGGTCTTCCCAAAACTGTTGCCATAAAGTTGGAGGTGTATAATTGTATAAAGTGTGTTTGTCTGCTGTATCATTAACATTCCCATTCAACTAAGGGGCCCAAACCAGCCCCAGACCATTATCCGTCCTCCACCAAATCTGCCAAAACCAGATTCATCCATCAGACTTCCAGATTGTGAAGTGTGATTCATCACTCCAGAACACGTTTCCACTGCTCCAGAGTCCAGTGCCGGTGTGCGTTACACCACTCCAGCTGATGTTTGCCATTGTGCTTAGTGATCTTAGGTTTGTGTGCAGCTGCTCGGCCATGGAAACCCATTTAATGAAGCTCCTGACACATTTTTCTTGCCGTGGTCTATGGCTTTGTGGTTGTTCTTGCTCTTAGACTTTTTTATTTCACAATAGCAGCACTTACAGTAGGCTGGAGCAGATCTAGCAGGCCAGAAATTTCATAAACTACACTTGTGGTTAAAGTGGCATCCTATGACCATCACTGAGCCCTTCAGTAAAACCTGTTGCACTGCCAGTGTTTGTCTATGGAGACTGCATGGTTGTGTGCTTGATTTATCCAACTGTTCGCAATGGATTTGGCTGAAACACTTGAACTCAGTAATTTTGAGGGGTGCAACAATTCTTTTGGCTCTACAGTGTAGATCCAAATGCAGATGTTACTTCGATGTTAGTCATTGAAACACAAGCGAGCACTTGTGACTGAAGCTCTTTCCATCCATGCACCCGTAATGAACCCTCTTCCAAAGGGTGTCTCAAAGAGCTCCCTAGTTCAGTAGTTAGGGTGCTGCTCAGGGAGTCAGCAGTTTTCCAGGGTTTCCATTGTCACAATTATTCTAGAGCACAGGGACATTCACTCCCTGAAAGTACCCACAACACAGCATGAACACCAGTGAGAGAAGAAAGACATTCAATGATCAACAAAGAGAAAGAGAAGCTCCTTTGACCCAATAAGATTATTGTTGGTTAGCTTTTATGATTTTATGAACTTTATATAAACTCATATACCCTTAAATTCAGTCTTTTTCCCATAAAGTAACCTCAGATTAAACTGAGGTTTACAATTTATAAATAACTCCTAATGTCTATTAGTTTGCATCTTATACAGTATTACAATGATGAGGTGAAGTAGCAGGTAATAGTGAAATGAAAATGAAAAAAGCAGTAGTGAAAACATCTACTGTGCTTTATTATACAAAAGTGTATAATGGAACTCAATCAGTAGTGTCTATAGACAAAACGTGAAACAGGTCTGTCAAACTGCTTTCAAACTACCGTCACATAGTTCATTATCCAGACAATAAGATGTCCACTTAGACATTTCTGCAGTGTCACGTCAAAAGTTGTGTGTGAGTGATCGTCATTACAGTGAGTCAGTAAGTAAATGGTCAGTAAAGGGAACAGTTTGGCAAAAAAATACACCATTACACCATTTCCCTCAACGCCTGTCAGTCAACTAATATATGTTTGTTGTCTGAGGTTTGCTTCTTTAGAGGTTGCACTGGAGCCGTGAGGCTAAAGCAGCTAATAAGTAAGGAAAGGTCATAGCCCACCAAACAGAACTGTGTAATGGAACTACTATGGACAAAATCTAAATAATGAAGTTTTCAGCTAAACAATATACATCTGTCCAAGTTTATAGATAACAGTAAGTCATACAGCTTCAGAAACTACCTCAGATGGGGACACAAGTCAGCGACTTGGACTTGAGTCATCCTCAAGTCACATGTTTATGTGACTTGTAACTCAACTGGCACTTAACTGACTTGTTAACTCACTGTTAACTCATTCATGACTCAATTCTGACCCACACTGACTCGCAGTGACTCGCAACTCTGACTCACGTACAACTGATTCGTGACTCGACTCAGACTCACACTTACCTGACACGCAACTCGACTCTGACTCACACTTAACTGACTCACAACTTAACTCAGCCGTGCACTTAACTGACTTAACTCTGACTCACACTTAACTCACTCAACTCATTATCGACTTGGACACCTGCTTACCTGGTTTGCAGTCAGACTCGTAATTAAATGACTCAACTCAAACTCATTTAACTGACTTGTGACTCGACTTAGGCTTAACTGACTCACGACTAAACTTGGACTCATGCTTAACTGACTCATGACTTGACTCAGATTCACGCTTAACTGATTTGAGACTCGACTCTGAGTTAAGACTTAAGACTTTCAACCAGAGAAAAAAGCACAACACAACTGACTGAATTAGGAGCACCAATCTTAGTGCGATGAAGGAATAAAACCTTTTGTTTCCAACCTTACATGTGAGATTTAGCATTTTCCATGCACAGTGTTGAGGTTTAAGGGCATTGCATTATGGGTATTGTCAGGAAATTATGTTATTATCTTGGCAAGCTGTTTAGACAATCATTTTTGCACAGTGTCAAGTCAAATGGTATCTGTCTGTCATGATTACAGTGAGCAAGCAAAGAGTAAATAGTCCATTTGGGAGAAGTTAACCATTTAAAAACTCATTTTAGAGCGCAGAGATTCTTTAAAACTTGCTAAAACTTCAGCTAGACTGCTATTACGCTAGTTAGCAAGCATACTTACAAACTACAGACTAACCAATCGTTTAAAGTTACGCACCATGTTCACTGTATGTGGTGCGTTAGTTCTGTCCTTCACACTGAAGAATCTTCTGTAATGAAAGGCTCATTATTTAAAGCTGTGTCAATCTTGACAGGTTCAGCTAATAATGACACAGAAATTCTACACTAAAATTTGAGACTCGACTCACACTTACTTGAAGCGGCTAGTGGACATCTCTGGAAACCACATAAGCAAGTCTATTTGATATTACCTAACAACAAAGAAGTTTTGGGGCAGGTCTGTGATGATTTAAGGCCCAGTCACACTAGTGTATTGCCAGAGAAAGTGCGCCAATTTCAATTAAATTAGTAAAAATGAGCTGTTTTGAGCTGCTGATTTTAAGAGTGAATAAATTTCAAGTGCGAAACTTTGCGTCAAGTTCAACTTTGGTGAATTTCACCAAAGACGCTAACTCACATCCTCGACCAACAGAGCTGCTTGTTTGCTACAACTCGGTGTGCAGCACTATGTTCTTATGTGTATATAATTATCTGGTACAGTTGTGTCCCCTTTGTGTTTTACTTTTTATGGTTAGCATGTTAGCTAGCTTGCTAACAACACCAAAATTGTCTTATTGCTAATCCAGACCAGCCTCAGTCATGCCCATTTCACAAAGCAATGCAAACTGCAAAGGTCTAGTGTGACTGCAGCTTTAGGCATGCTAAGTAGTGTACATAAGGTTTCATTACATCTTAGCTATATTAGCCTCATAACTCTATTTTAAAACCATAAAAGCTGTGTTCAGACACCAAACACAATCTTGACTGGCTGACCACATTCGGACTGTGGAGGAAATTGTATAACAGTGATTTTGCGCCAAAGTATTCCTTTAATCAGTCAGACGGTCACCAAGACCTTCATGTGTGATCATGCTGTTACAGTGTTACCAACACATTCCTAGCCTGGATAGTCAGGGATGTCATCATATATGACCTCACTGTGCTGTGGGTGCTGCAAGAGACAGCGTTGGACAGTTTGAAGGACTGTTGCTAGCCGACGGTCTAATGCAGAGAGGTGTGGCTCAGCAAGCACAGGGGCCACAGCGGCCAGAGGGTCCTGGGACAGGGAAGCCCGCATCATGTCACTTAAATGGTACTGTGAGAGAGTCAGCAGACGCAGGCGCAACAGCGTAGAGCGGCGGATTCTGGAAGATAGAGTGGGTGAGAGAAATCAAGAGGCGCTCCAAGAATAGTAACATCAAAGGTGTCAAATTGGTGTGATGCCATAGAGTCACTTTTGGTAGAACCTTTTTAAAGGTTAAAGAACCTCAATGTCTTTTTAAAGGGCCTTTCCGGCCTAAAACTAGAGTTTAGTATGTCAGTTATCATGTTATGCAGTATTCTGTGGTGGAGCATTATATCCTATATATTATATTTGATAGAACTCATGATTTTGTATAACTTTCATGTTTTCCATTCATCAATGTTCTATCGCTACATCATACAAATCCCTGTGATGTCATCCAGCCCTGACTGCTAATCTAGCCACTGATCTACAAGCTGACAAATGCAACCAAGCTAGCATTAGTGTAACTCTCACCTCAGTCGTTGAATAAAAATCGTAAAGAAGTTTGAGGTTTGAATTGAAGGACAAAGCTTGCAGCTTTAGCTCTAGAGTGACGTCAGATTTACCTGCAGCACTGAACAAGAGGGGCGAGTATGGAGGGCTCATCCTTAGAGTAACGACCAAATCTACAGCATAAAACACACAGAATACAATCAGCACAAACACCCTGTGACAACTGTATCCCCAACAGTGTGTAAAGCTGCTACTGTGTCTAAACACTTACGATCTCCCATTGTCCAAGTGTATGAGGAATGTATTGTTGCCAAAAAACTCAAATGTTTCATAGTGGTGTCTGTCCATATTACCTGTAGTTAGAACAGAGTAGGGAATATGAACTACAGTCAACAGGAATAATATGACATTAAATTGAATGGAGTCTCTATCTCATTCAACTGATCTACCAATCAGGTCTTACTTTGCAGAAAGTCCAGGATAGTCATGTCTATGAGATCCACCAATCGGGTGCCTCGATCATAGGGTGGAGTCTTTTTCACAGCGTTGCAGTACGTTGGGGTTTTCTCCCATCTGAAACATGACAGCATCCAACATAAGCAAGATTGAACCGATCGCTGCACTGTAAACAATCATATAATCATCAAATTGTCCAGTCACTGCACTGTACTCATATAATCATCACACTGTTCAATCACTGCACCACAAACAATCATATAATTATCACATTGTACTGCAATCACTGCACTGCAATCATATAATCATCATGCTGTCAGTCACTGCACATTATCACATTGTTCTTTCACTGCACTGCAAACAGTCATATGATTATCAACTTGTTAAAACATTACTTTTCAAACAATCATATGATGAACACACTGTCCATTCAAAACACAGCATAGAATCATAAAATCTTTACACTGACCAATCACATAATCCAATTGCCCAATTCACTGCACTGCAATAATAAAATCATCACACTATGCATTCACTGCACTGCAATCCTAAAATCACACAGTCCATTCACTGCACTGCAATTATAAAATCATCACACTGTCCATTCACTGCACTGCACATCTGTAATCACACTGCCTAATCACTGAACTGCAAACAATAATTAGCACAATGTCCAATCTCTGCACTGCAAATAGTTATATAATCATCACATTGTCCAATCCCTGCACTGCAAACATATAATCATCACATTGTCCAAACACTGCACTGCACATTTATAATCACACTGCCTAATCACTGCACTGCAAACAATAATTAGCACAATGTCCAATCTGTGCACTGCAAATAGTAAATAGTAATAGTAATAAGTAGTCATATAGAGATCACATTATCCAATCACTGTGCTATAAAAAATCTTATAATCATCATTTGTCCAATCATTACTGAATTATTTAATAACTTCTTTTTAAACTAATATATACACAGATCAGGCATAACTTTATGACCACCTCCTTGTTTCTACACTCATTGTCCATTTTATCAGCTCCACTTACTATATAGGTGCACTTTGTAGCTCTACAATTACAGACTGTAGTCCATCTGTTTCTCTGATACTTTGTCAGCCCCCTTTCACCCTGTTCTTCAGTGGTCAGGACCCCCATGGACCCTCACAGAGCAGGTATTATTTGGGTGGTGGATCATTCTCAGCACTGCAGTGACACTGATGTGGTGGTGGTGTGTTAGTGTGTGTTGCACTGGTACGAGTGTATCAGACACAGCAGTGCTGCTGGAATTTTTAAACACCTCAGTGTCACTGCTGGACTGAGAATAGTCCACCAACCAAAAATATCCAGTCAACAGTGTCCTGTGGGCAGCATCCTGTGGCCACTGATGAAGGACAAGAGAATGACCAACACAAACTGTGCAGCAGCAGAAAGAAAAAATACTACACCTACACCTGAACCTAACCCTAACCTTAACCTCAATATCTGTACCTTTTAGTTTTTCCAAAGAAATGCAATTTGTGAAAACAACACATGCTGTTGGGTCACACTTGAGCAAAAATGTGATGTCCTATCATTGTGAAGATGTGGCCCTCACAAGTATAGCAAGACAAGAACACACATACACACACACATATACACACATACACACGTATATACACACACACGCAAACTCTCCACCCACAGTGCAAGCTTGCTGCGGCTGTAGGAGCGCCTCCAGGGGTTTTTCCAGGAGCGGCGAGGGGCCAGGGACAGGTCAGGCAGCATGGCGGCCAGGGAGCCCTCCAGAGCATGGGGTCGGCCGCACACAGCATGCTCCGTGGAGCAGTAGTACGAACACTGGCCATAAAAACACGAGTTTCCAACTGACGCACACAGAGGACACAGAGGAAGCAAAAGAGTTGTGACACAACAGCACTTAAAACCACAGTCGGTCACTTATTTCACAACAGTAGGTGGCAGGCCCAATTTCCAGTAAAACTGAGGGAAGGGGGATGGTGACGTGGTAATCTCCTAAAAACAGAGTCTGCTGAAAAAGGCTTACCATTGAAATATATGTGAACAGATAGTCAGTGACATAAGTAACCAAAACCACAAAACTCTTTAGCTGCAGGACTTAATCAAAGACATTTAGCTCACATAAAAAAATACATGAAAACTATTCTCTTCATGGTAGGAACTGTGGGCTGACAGTTTCCATTAATATTTAAAAATGTCTACATAATTCAAAGATTAAACAAAGTCATTTACAGTGCTTCATTCTAAGGAAGCAGAATTGTTCATAGTGGTGGTGATAGGAACCAGACATCTAAATTGTTCAAGGCCTCTAAAAGCTCCCTTACTCAAAATTGTTGCTTGAAATAGGTTATGTGATAATGGTTTGGCCTAAAAGCATTCTTTAATCCATTCAGTGCCAGAAGAGAAACATGCAGGGCGTTGTAAGGCCAAAGAGTCCCAGAAAACTTTTTTTTTCTTTTTTTAGATTTACCACTATTTTATAAACATTACATATTCAACCACCAGTAGTTTCACTGGTGGTTTTGGCTGGTAAATAGAATGGCTATATTTGCCATATCTATATGGCTATATTAGATATCAAAACCTCTATCACCACCACTGTGAAGAAATCAGAGTCAGTAAGTTTCTGTGCAATGACGTACAGAAATGTAAAAACCTCAGTGGAATTCCCCTTTGAGAAGGGTTTGCTTATACTTGCTTTATATTGCAACTGTAACACTTAAAAGTATAACACTGTTGTGTTACTTTATTACTTAAATAAAATTACATCAGTTTAATTTTAATTTACATATTTTTGTTATTAATTACACCTATGATTGCCTATATATATATATTTTTTTTAATTTTATTATTAGCATTGTTTTTTTATTTCTTTTTATTATTATTATGAATAACTTTTACGATTTATATTCTGCATCAATGAATGTTTGTTTAATTCGCAACGATGTATTCTCTTTCCGCCAAACAAGACTTCCTATTAATTTTACATTCTAATTATAATAAAAATACCTCCTCAAAAATTATTTCCACACAAATGTGGTATCATTAGAATCCGCACTTTTGTCAGGGTTTTGACAGTGAAGCTCCAGTTGCACGAGGATGATGAGGCTATAAATACCTGCGGGGTGTGACAGGATTCATAGATTGAGAAGAGGTGGTGTGTGCAAAATGGGCCGCTAAGCAGATGTTAATGATTGACAAAAAGGAGTGATTGCATTTGGGCAGCCAAAGGCCACAGTGTGAAGGAAGTAGCTGAATTTGCAGGTGTATCAAAGCGTGCGGTTATATGGGTCAGCAGTGGAAAGACAAAACTGACAGACAGGGAACACGAGTGTGTTTCACGGCTTGTGAATAAAAAACGCTTCACTTCCAGGCAAGAACTGCTTCTAGAAGTCAACACAGGTTCTTCACAACCAATTTCTGAAAGAACTCTTCACAGGGAACTGCATACCATGAACATATGGAGCAGAGTGGCACAAAGAGGCCTTTGCTCACTTCTGCTCACAGAGTTGCCTGGTTACAGTGGGCAAAGAGACACAAGAATTGGACTGTTCATGGCTGGAAATGTGTTATCTGGTCAGATGAATCTGGTTTCTGACTGTATGTGAAAGATGCTTGATCTGGCCAAACTGCAATGTAATTCTTTGATGCAAGTGTGGCTGAACATTGATGTTGCCTACATCCAGAAACTTGTCCAGTCCGTGACAAATCAAATCACAGCTGTTATTTGTGCTTGTGGATGTATTACACCCTATTAGGTACGTTTCAGTCACATGTGACTAATTTTGGTCCGGTGAACTTATTTATACTATAAAAAATGGATGTTTATAAAAATCCAATTATAACATCTTAAAATACAACTTTTAATTGTTGGAATTATATTGAAGCATGTAAAAGTTCATTTCTTATTGATAATAATTCAAGCCTTTTTCTAATTTATTACAATTGCAGAGACAATTTTTACTAACCAGAATTAAAGCTTAACATATGGTAAATTTTCACCACACAATTAAAAATTAACTTGTACATGCGGAGGTTTTAATTATTATGGCAGGCCATTTTAGCTTTTACTTCCTATTTTTGATCTCAGCAATTCACAAACGTTAAAAACACATTTCAACTAGTATATATGGAAATATTAGTATGAGAAGTTAAATTTGGATGTAAACAATTATAGTATAGTAAATATTACATTTTGACTAGTAAACATTCAGTTTTTATTGGTGAAAAATAAGTTTTCACCAGTAAAGCGTCACTTTTACACGTAAATTAAATTGTTTTGTAAAATTTATTGTTAAATGAAAACTAGGATTAAAAGCTGAAACTATTTGCAATAAAACCAATTTGAACATGTAATTAGAAGATCAGCAATCCAACTTACTTTACACTTATTTGGACTCCATGCTAAACCTACTTTCCACACACAGGAGGGGGATTTCAAATACTGAATATGGCACAGGAAGAAGAGGCTGTTTTAAAAACAGTGCAAGTTAAATCTGACAGTCTGAGATCCTGTTTAAGCAAGTCTTCTACTTCCACAACAGCAGTTAGAAGGTTTATGGGGAAAGTACCTTTAAAGTGCTTCAGACATTTCTTTTTTTGGCAGGGCTGTGTTGTGTTATGAAACACGCAGCAACGCCTGACATTGCACAAGGTGAAATAGGCCGGTTGTCGTCATTTATGAATGTGCTAATTAGTTACCACCACACTATTTGCTCTTAACGTCACGGTAAACATGTCATTGTGTTTCATGAATGTGGTCCATAGAATTTATGGGTACATGCAATAATTAACACCTCATTGTGGCCAGTACAGATTTCAGTAACCGATCATTTTAAATCATTCTTTAACTTATTTAAGCAATTTAATCTTTAACAGGTGACCATGTGAACCTGAATGTGGAATCAAACCTCAGGCTTCTGGGTGTAGGGTTGTGGTGTTATCCACTATGCTAGCCCCCCCATTTCAGTGTGTGCATGAGCTAAAACCAGTGGGCTAAAATATTGATTGTAATTATCTGCTATAATTCCAGTAACAGACAATTTCCATTTGAGAGCGGGCAGAGTGAGGAATGGAAATCTGGACCTGCCAAAAAGTCAAAAATACCAAAGAATTAGCTGATAATTCTGGCTGTTTTGGAGGCGAAATAACAGCTTCACCGCTGCCAGAGCCAACCTGGGGAGTTGAAGAAAGTCCGCACCAGTTTATGATCTGTGGTGACATCTTTAATCTCCTTGATGACGTCAATCAGCCTTCCCACTACTGGAGGAACTCGCCTAAAACCCAAAATCCTTACAGACACAGAGTAGACAGAGGTGAGAGGCAGAGAGACAGAGGGAGGCAGAAAGAGGAAGAGAGGGAGTGGGGTTGGTTTAGTGGTGACTTACAAAACATTGGGTGTAGCAACAAATATATTAGGCAAAAAGGGGCTACTTCTCTCAAAGTGCTTGTTGCATTTACTTTGATACACTATATGGCCAAAAGTATGTGGACACCTGACTATCACATTTGTATGAGCTTGTTGGACATTCCATTCCAAAACCATGGACATTAATATGGAGTCCCTTACCCCACCTCCCACCATTGCTTTGTGCACAGGGGTGCAGTCATGCTGGAACAAGAAAGGCCATTCCCTAAACTTCTGCCACAAAGTTATAAGTGTATAATTTGTCTTTGTGTGCAGTAGCATTAGCATCACTCATTACCGGAACTAACGGGCTGAGCCCTGAAACCCTGAAAAACAGAGGCATGCTTTACACCACTCCAGCCGACACTTGGTATTGTGTATTATGATCTAAGGCTTCTGTGCAGCTGCTTGTCTATGGAAACCCATTTCATGAAGCTCCCAACGCACAGTTCTTGTGCTGATGTTGCCTCCAGAGGCAGTTTAAAAGTCTATAGTGAGTCTGTAGTGAGTGGTGCAACAGAGAATATGTGATTTGTTACTCCTAGATGCTTCTATTTCACAATAATAGCACTTACAGTTGACTGGGGCAGATCTAGCGAGGCAGAAATTTTACTAACTGATGGTCCTATCTATGACAGTGCCACGTATAAGTCACTGAGCTCTTCAGTACGACATATTCTACTGCCAGTGTTTGTGTAAGGAGATTACACGACTATGTGCTTGATTTGTCTTTTGGCATACAAGACGAGCCTTTGTGCTCTTTTTGATCAGCACTGGTTTGCGCCTTGCAGCTCTCCCATAGATGCCATTTGTGCTCAGAGTCTTTCTTATTGTGGAATCATGTACATTGACCTTAGCTGAGGCAAGTGAGGTTCTTTAGATGTTCATACGAGTTCTTTTGTGACCTCTTGGATGGGACATCATTGCGCTTATGGTGAAATTTTAGTAGGCCGTCCTCTCCTGGGAAGGTTCACCACCGTTCCAATTTTTTTCCATTTGTGGATAATGACTCACACTGTGGTTCACTCATGTCCCTGAGCCCTAGAAATGGCTTTGTAGCCCTTTCCAGACTGGTAGATTTCAGTGACTTTGTTTCACATCTGTATTTGAATCTCTTTTGAACATGGCATCATGTGCTCCTTTTTGCGACCTTCTAGCTGCTTCACATAATCCGACACGTTATATTTAAGTGATGTTTGGAATCAACAGGTCTGGCAGTAATCATGCCTGGGTGTGGCTGGTGAAATTGAACCCAATAGTCAATTGAATTTGGTTAACTGGTTGATTTAGTAGCTAAGGAGGCAATTACCTGTTTAGGGGGCTGAACAGCATTTTTCTTTCAATAAATGAAATCATCATTTAAAAACAGCATTTGTATTTACTTAGGTTATCTTTCTCTAATATTAAAAGTAGTTTGAAGATCTGAAACGTTCAAGTGTGACAAATTTGCTAAAATAGAAGAAATTCGGAAGGGCGCAAATACTTTTTCACAGCACTGTATGGATAGGGGTACGTTTCATACTTCAGTCACTCTTAACTGTTACCCCGATGAAACATTGTTTAATACATTTTAATATGTCACGCTTCCTGGTTCTCAGTCGGACACTCGTACCATCAAGGACTCCACTTCCCAGAATCCTTCTGTCAGTCACGAGACTCTTCCAGCCAATCACAAACCACCCAGCAGATCACAGTCACCTGAATACTAATCATCACCACCTGTTTTGCTCTGTATATATACCTGTCTGTTTGAACCTTGTCTTTGCAAAGTATTGCCATTGTTCAGTCAGTGCATACCAAGCCGTTTATTTTCCTGATTGCTGTTCTGTGTTTCAACCTCGCTTTGTTTTCTCCGGTTTCCAACTCTCGCTCCTGTTTTTGGCTTTGTTGTTTTGTGTATGATTCTTCTACGGTTACAACCCTCGCCTGTTTTTTCGACTCCGTTTTCGCCTACTCCTTTGTGTTGTATCTGGCTCTTCGGGTTATTGACCTGGTCTGGTGTTAACCCTGTCCATCTCCTTTTAAATAAATCTTCCGGGTTCGTTTTTCTCCGCACGTGTCTGATTTGCAAATGTACCTATGAAAACTATTGCAGTTCATCCAATAAAAGTAGCATGGAGCTTCTTTTATACAGTGATAGAAAACATGGCAGCACACAAAAAGCTCCAGTTCCACATGCTGATCCACTTTACAATGACCAGCAAGGAGAATGTGACCCAAATACTCCATGGGCTGATTTTAATGAGTTAAGAGGGACAAATACAAGATGTTGGAACGTAAGGTTAAACACATGCCGTACCTGTCGAGGTGAAAAGCTGCGATCTCAGCATTGTGTCTCTCAAAGTCAGAGAAATAGTACAGGTTGACATTGGTCTCCTCAAGCCTCTCCTGTCTGCAGTAAAAATATAATGAGGCAGATGAAGTAATACACACAAGATTAATATAGATCACAACCTGATTTAACAACCAACAGCATCAGTTCCTGTTATTTACAGCTTCTGCAAAGTGTATTTTAATACTTCCCATAGAATCTTAATGCAGTCATGATGATGAAAGGAGAAATGTAGGCCGTCAGGCCCTGACGTGACACTTCACTTGACCCCTGCTGCATAACTTTGACAGCCCCCTTTTACCCTGTTCTTCTGTGGTCAGGACCCCCACGGATCCTCACAAAGCAGGTACTATTTGGGTGGTGGATCATTCTCAGCACTGCAATAATACTGATGTGGTGGTGGTGTGTTAGTGTGTGTTGCGCTGGTCTGAGTGGATCAGACATAGCAGTGCTGCTGGAGTTTTTAAACACCTCAGTGTCACTGCTGGACTGAGAATAGTCCACCAAACGAAAGTATCCAGCCAGCAGCGTCCTGTGGGCAGCATCCTGTGACCACTGATGAAGGACTAGAGGATGACCATCACAAACTGTGCAGCAGCAGATGAGCTATCGTCTCTGACTTTACATCTCTACAGTGAGTGGAGTGTTTAAAAACTCCAGCAGCACTGCTGTGTCGAAGCCACTCAGACCAGCGCAACACACACTAACACACCACCACCACGTCAGTGTTACTGCAGTGCTGAGAATGATCCACCACCCAAATAGTACCTGCTCTGTGAGGGTCCATGGGGGTCCTGACCACTGAAGAACAGGGTAAAAGGGGGCTAACAAAGTATGCAGAGAAACAGATGGACTACAGTCTGTAACTGTAGAACTACAAAGTGCACCTATATAGTAAGTGGAGCTGATAAAATGGACAATGAGCGTAGAAACAAGGAGGTGCTCATAATGTTATGCCTGATCGGTGTACATGAGTGTATGTGTGAGTGTGTATAATGAACATATAAAATAGCCCTGCAAAAACCTTTGCATTGTAAATGGTTTTTGCTCAACAAATTACCACCACACTGACAATACCACGTTCCATTAGCACCTCTATGTAATTAGCACCAAGCTAATGGAGTTGTACATCCTTTTCCCACAATGGAGCTCCCTACTGCCTACATAGTGCACTACATAGGATTTACTAGCTCCTGCACCCAAATAGCGCATAATATGGCTAACAAATAGCAATTTAGGATTGAGCCGTGTGTACACAACTCCATATTGGACAAAAATGCACTGTTAGGGTGCAGAAGCCAGAATTTCATTACTTACATAGTGCACTATATAGGAAGGAGGTAGCTGTTTAAGATGCAGCCTGAGTTTGATGCTGCTTGAGACAGATCTAAAATACGGGCTTTTGATGCTTCAAGTGACATTCTTTACTTTTTTATGTTAAAGCTGTACAATGAATCATGTAGTAAGTGCTTCAGTTCAACTGCTATTATGTTAAAGGAGCTGTTAGCTATCTTTTAGCCTGTTTGCTAGCTAATCAGCCAGGTTCCTGTTAAAGGTAAATGGTCAGCCCCCAGTTTAAACAAAACCGGATGATTACTTCATCTGTACACTCAGTGGTCCATATGAGCAGCATTACAAAGATAATTCCATTCAGCACAAGGGTTTTTCATGATTTTGCTCAGTAATACATAATCCAGCTGTTTTAAGGCGGTTATAGGTGTGTGTAAATCTAGCATTTTACAATGGCTTTGAACGCAGCTCAGCTAATCAGATTTTAGGAGCAGAAATATTCCTTTTATTATCAGTAATATATCACTATTATGTTACCATTACCATTATCATTATTGTTATTATTGTCATGACAGATGTTATAATGTTAGATGTCTTAGCAATTAACAATAATAGCAACATGACAGTGTTATAATATTGAACAAACTCTGCCGCATGACGCCGTATGACATCTGCCCTAAGTTTATGCCATAGTTATGTCAGTGTTACGTAGCAATGTCCAAATAAAATGTTACCAGCACTGACCAGACAATGACCCTTATTCATCAAAGTTGCATTTGGTCAAATTGAACACATATTTCACTTTTTTTTAATCAACTTCATCTCTGGCAAATCTGTACGATCAAACTAACCAAAACTAGTATCAATACTAATACCAGTATAATCTATAATACCAGGAAGAGAATAACACAGAAAATAACTATAATACTAATAATTTGCGCACATTGCAATCTAGTACAAAAAGTGGATGCACTTATTTTACATGCACATTGCTGTAAACAAATGCTATTCCATGTTCTATTTGAAACCATATTACACTGCTTTTACTTGCTTGCTGCACGTTTAATTTAAATTTTAGTAAAATAATCACATTACACAAACATCATTCTACCATCTTAAAAAAATGAAGAATTTTTGTTTATTTCTCTCTCTCAACACTTTCTCAAACTCAGTCATTGGCTCATGTGCTGCTGAATGTTCTCATTTTATTGGCTTTCTACTGAAACATCTGCATGAATTAGGGCGAGCTACATATAAATGATATGTAAATGAGATACTGGTAGGTTGATTTCATGCACTGAAGCTGATTCAGCAGAGCAAATCTCTGCTCTTTTCCATGTCATATGAAAGTTTCATGATTCAAACACAGAACAGTAGAACTGAGAGAGAATTAGAAGGCTATATATGACCATGAAGTGTTGTCTGTATGAAAGGTTATACAGATTCTACCAAAACAGATACTGTGACCAGCAGAAACTCTAAGGCCCAATCCCATTTCACCACTTGCCAGTTAGCCCTTAGCCATCTGTTTTGCAAGTTCACGTCTAGAGGTAGGGTGTCCTGATTTTAGTTGAGATAGAGGGCTAGGGTGAAGTGTTGGGCAAATGGCTGAACAAGAGACCAAAGAAACCCACAAATGTGAGAATTTTCTCTATTAAAAATTACGATAACCACTGTATTATCTTAGTTTAATGTCGTTTCAGTGTATCATGGTTGTTTTCTTCACAACAAGCATGAAAATCGCTAATAGCATGCTAATGTCGCGGTAGCTAGCTAGTTACCTTTCCCGTTCCACCTTAAATAGTCCAGCAGTTCTGACGTCTGAAGCGCCAGAATGTAATTGCTGCACCATTTAAAGTGGAACGGAAAATTCAAACAAGAAGCTGGTGAATGGCTGACTTCAGCTTTGTATCACCAAAGAATCAGCGGTGGGCGATAATAAATAACCCCATCTTTGAAAGCATATGATTCCCTAAATGTGAACTTTTCCCTTCTCTGCCAGCACTGAAGACAGGCCAGGTCACCTACAGAGCACCGCAAGTATTATTTTTTTTTAATTTGAGCGTCCCATTTTGTAGGGCAAAATGGTAACTCAGTTCCAAGGGGTTAAGGTGACACTCGAAAACAAGGGGTAGGGGTAAAAAGAAGAAATGGAATTGGGCCTAAGAGTTTAAAAAAAGATTGGAGAAGCTGAGACTGCTGAGATAACAATGTTGTAATGCCACAGCTGTGTGAGACATCTTACTTCATAGGCTTGAAGAGAGCCTGACCATAGTTAGGGAACGTCATCAGCAGCTTCAGCTGAGTTCCTCCTGTCTTCTGAACTGGAACATGTGACCACAGAAGACAGCATATATGACATATATCATCAATGAATACACAGCATGTTAAGGCTGTTAATTATGGCTCAATTACACAACTCAAGAAAGAGAAACACTGTTTATAAAGTGTTCTATATGAATTCACTGGAAACAGCTGTTCAAAGGGGAGTTTTCAAAATTTGCATAGCTCATCACTGAGATGTAAACATAGCCGTTTAGAGTGGTTTGACGTCAAGTGGTTCATTGAAGAGGCCCAGATTACTTTATGACAGTGATGATAGGAACCAGGAGTCACAATGTCTACAATTCAAATGTAGCTATTTTATTTACTATCCAAAATCACCAGTGAACCTACATGTACCTTCTGAGTTTTATACGCAGTGTTGATAATGGTAAAATAGTGGTGTATCTGAAAAAAATTAAGCTGACTATTTTGCCGTATAACACCTTGCATGTATCATTCTGCCATGAATGGATAAAAAAAAAGGTTTTAGGCTGAATCCTGATCTCATTATAAACCAATGCCTCATGAATTACACAATATTTTTATAACCATTTTTATGTAATAGTTTTCAGTGAGGGAGCTTCTAGAGGCATTAACCTTTCAGACGTCTGGTTCCATTCATCACCACTGTGAACAGTTCTGACTTAGCAGGTTTCTCTAGCATATCATATTTCACATTAAACTACTCTGAATGACTTTTCTTGCATCTTAGATTTAATAAAAAAAAAGACAAATCAGTGGAAAATAAAAATAAAAAACACCCATTAATGTGAGTGTATTCTGCAGTAGCCAATTTTCTCCAGTAGAGGTCTCCTTGCGCTGTCTTTGCTCAGTGGTCTGATCACCCCTCCTCCCTCTCTCTGGGACACTGTGACCTCTGTTTCTAAATGCAAGCTTGCACTTCTGGTGTAAATATGTCTTTAGGGTCAGAGGTCAGGGTTAGCGTTAGCTACCTGTGCTGACGATGCGGCTGGTGGCCATCTCCTCTAGAAGCGCAGGCAGGTTGGAGTCCCTGTGCTGGTACAGCTGCCTGCGGGAGATGCCCAGGTGAAACCTGAGCCAGGGTGGGTGAGTGTCAGTGCTGGTGTTCCAGTGGATTGGATCAAAGCCCTCCTTGCTGTCACTCAACCTGAAAGAGAGGGTGGTTTAAAGTGGAGGAGTGGAAGTTGAACCAGCAAGGTGAAATACAGCTATTAGGTGTGGAGACATTTGGCTTGTTTCTCCAGAGGATGTTGCTATTTTGCCTGCAATAATAATGCATAATAACGTAATGGTTTCAATACAGTGCTGAAAAACCAAGAAGCACTTAGCCTCTCATTTGCTGTCCTTTGTGGAAACCATTATCAATGATCAAAACTAGGCTTCTGGATGCATTCTCTCAGAGTAAAGTGGGCAGGGAGGGGGCGGGGCTTATGCTTTGTATGCACCAACACTCAAATTAATCTGCCTTTTTCTGAAGTTGTTCATAAATTCTAGGGGTTGTGATTTTTGGGGCTTATTTTGTTAGAAGGTTGTTGAGTTCAAACCACTCTGAGTCATAGAAATCTGTGTAGTACGTCATTTGAGCTCTATAGATTTAAGACCAACCAAAAACCACTGGGATAGGCTACAGCACCCCCTGCGACCCAGGCATAACATTATGACCACCTCCTTGTTTCTACGCTCATTGTCCAGTTTATCAGCTCCACTTAATATATAGGTGTACTTTGTAGTTCTACAATCACAGACTGTAGTCCATCTGTTTCTCTGCATACTTTGTCAGCCCCCTTTTACCCTGTTCTTCAGTGGTCAGGACCCCCATGGACCCTCAAAGAGCAGGTACTATTTGGGTGGTGGATCATTCTCAGCACTGCAGTAACACTGATGTGGTGGTGGTGTGTTAGTGTGTGTTGTGCTGGTCTGCGTGGATCAGACACAGCAGTGCTGCTGGAGTTTTTAAACACCTCAGTGTCACTGCTGGACGGAGAATAGTCCACCAACCAAAAATATCCTCCATCAGCGTCCTGTGGGCAGCATCCTGTGACCACTGATGAAGGACAAAAGGATGACCAACACAAACTGTGCAGCAGCAGATGAGCTATCGTCTCTGACTATACATCTACAAGGTGGACTGACAAGGTAGGAGTGTCTAATAGAGTGGACAGTGAGTGGACACAGTGTTTAAAAACTCCAGCAGCACTGCTGTGTCTGATCCACTCAGACCAGCGCAACACACACTAACACACCACCACCACGTTAGTGTTATAGCAGTGCTGAGAATGATCCACCACCCAAATAGTACCTGCTCTGTGAGGGTCCATGGGGGTCCTGACCACTGAAGAATAGGGTAAAAGGGGGCTAACAAAGTATGCAGAGAAACAGATGGACTACAGTCTGTAACTGTAGAACTACAAAGTGCACCTATATAGTAAGTGGAGCTGATAAAATGGACAATGAGCGTAGAAACAAGGAGGTGGTCATAATGTTGTGCCTGATCGGTGTGTGTGTATCCAGGGCTTAATTTGTGCAGGAACACCTCCGGAATTGGGTCCGGCATAGTAATAACTGATGCTTTATATCACTCAAAAATGCATCACTATTGCTGTAATTAATCATTCTTTAACATATTTTAAAATCAGAACCCAAAAAAGTCAAAACTCACTTTGAAATTTTTTTTTCTGGTATTCTAGCATTTAGATTTGTGCCACTTTCAGAGTTGGATAACTGTTTGTAGGTATTGTATTTCTGTAATTTATAGATTGTGCTTAATTTCATGCTTTAATCAGGCCCTGTTTATGCTTCCAGTCTATATGCACCAATTTTTTCTTTGACCAATTTTTGTTTCGTTCAGAGGTAGAAACACTTAGCAAAAGGCTAATGGTTACTGGTTAAAGTGGAATTTTGATTGGACAGTATTAAAATTTGAACAGTGAATGTGTCACATTTTGTGAGCTCATTCTTATTTGTGGTTGGCTTAATTACACCACCCAATCATACCAACTGATCACACATTATTTGTTGAGAGCATTCGTTCAATGTGTTAGTGTCATGTTGACACATACCCGTTAGTTATAAGATCCAATGTTTTGTGGAAACTTCACGTTATGAGGACCTCCCCCAGCCCCACTGACCTACCAGGTCCATTACTGCTTCCTGTTCCAGGACCTCATAATTTACAAATTAAGCCCTGTGTTTATCATTATGCAATTAAGTTTTATGCACTATAAGTCATTTTGTGCTATTTCTATTGGTCTGTTAGCAAAGAAATGTACACAATGTAAAGGACAGCTGGTGTTTTCAAATGGCATAACAAAAACAAACAAAAAAGAAAGGAAAAAGAATGAGAAGGTTTTGGTATGACCTTGACAATGCATCACCTATACTTATATAGCTTGTATGTTGCTAGGACAGGCTACACAGGCTACACAGTGATTCCACCACTTTTCAACCAAATGAATTGGTTTGAGAGACAAACAGAATATAATGCCTGTTGTGCACATGTATGTGTCTCACCACTGCTCTGCATTCTGCTCTGCTGCCCCTTTGGATCGGACTCTCAGCAACCAGTCCTCATCAGGAGAGGGGGGGGCATGCAGGTTGTACAGCGGATGGGAGAACAGAGCCTCCAGCTTGGACAGGTCGGCCCCTCCCTCACGCACCTCCTGCTTCCCTCGTCTGCGTGTGCCGTCGGCTGAGGTGAGGTTGGGGTGCGGCTGAGATGAAGAGGACTGAAGGGGCTCACAGGGTGGAGGGTACAGAGACAAAACCAGCAGAGCCACCAGCAGGTGCAGGACCACTGACACACACAGCAACAAGGCCCAGACACCCTGCAAGCGGCGATACCGACACACTCTCATACTGACAGAGAGACAAACAGAAGCCTGTTACTTCTCTAATAGGTAGAATAGGGTAAAGTAACATACTGCATTTCATCTACATCAGAGGTCTCCAATCCAGACCCTGGAGATCAACCTTCCTGCAGATGTTAGATCCAACCTTAATCAACCCCACCTGATCCTTGTAATTATTGCTTTCAGAAGTCCTTGATTGGCTGAAGGAAGTGCGTTCGGGTTAGACATGCAGGAAGGTTGATCTTCAGAAAGAAAGTTGGTGACCGCTGATCTACATGATCACCTGATCGTCAAATCTGCTCCCAGAACTGCCACAAAACCAACGCAGACACAATCTGACAGAAGCAGTGGAGCACGATGAAGACATCCAGTGTTCTTGAACGTACCTGCCTCTGCGGCTCCGCTCTTCTCCACCGAGAGGTCCTCAATAAAGAGAGAGGGTTCTGCTATCACGCACTGCTATATTTGCCTGTTTGTTCACCTTCTTTCCCTCTTTCTCTTCCTCAAACAGAGAGAAGGACTGCCAGGTTAGGCCGATCTGAACTGATGTGTGTTTGCTTGTCCCCGTTATCATATTGCCTGTGTGTGTGTGTGCCAGAGGCAGTGTTTCACACACTCAGAGTACATTGCAGAATACCTTCAGGCGCTGAAGTCAATACAAAGAAAGATATGGAGGCCCCATGCTGGCTCTTTTCTCCGAAAATATAATACAGTCAGTCCTCCCATAACTCAGGCCACAGTGAGATTACGAGACCCGACAGTCTGAAGAAGTGCCCACAGGCAAAAGAGAAACGTGCTGTCCTTCTTGTGTACATAGAAAATAGCAGCACTTTATCTGTTTATCCTAGTTTATGTATGAAATTTATAGCATCTACATTAATCCCTACGTCAGGGGTGTCCAATCATATCTGCAAAGGGCTGGTGTGGCTGCAGGTTTTCATTCCAACAAAGCAGAGGCACACGTGGTCAGTTGTTTGAAGACCAACTGATCAAAGTGGAATCAGGTGTGCCCCAGCTTATTTAGAATGAAAACTGGCAACCCCACCAGCCCTTTGCAAATAAGACTGGACACTCCTTCCCAATGTTGACGAGTAGACCTTATGGTCTACAGCAGGGGTGGGGAACTCCAGTCCTGGACAGCCAAATTCCCGCATAGTTTGGTGATTCATTTACTGCTCAGGCAACACCTGATTCAACTCATCAGTTTTAGTTGGTATGCTGGACTCCAGCCCTCAGTCCATAGAAAGCACCTGAAGTATACAGAAAGACAAGCGCCCATATTTATCAACTCATCTGGGGTCAGTTTATACTTTTTGCATAGCACCAAAGAGGACTACATGGACGAGATCTGATCTTAGATCAGTATTCTTACTCTAACATGCTTGATAAATGTAACCCAGCTATCCCTCTTATCTGCAGGGAAACCAGCAAGCCCCCTAGTCTGAAGAGAGACTAACAGTCCCTTTAGTCTAAAGAGAGACAAGTAGTCCTTCTACTCAAAGGAGAGACCGTTGGGATCCACTCGTCAAAAAAAGACCAGCAGTTCCTTTAGCCTCTTGGTTGTTGAAGTCTCCAGAAAGATTAGTAGTCTACAGTCTACAGTGAGACCAGCCACCAACATTCTCTTTAAGTCTACAGAGAGATCAGTAGTCTCTATAGTCTACAGAGAGACCATATAGAGAGACTTTAGTGTACAGAGTTATTTTGTACTGGAAGATCTAACATCCTCTACTTTGCAGAAAGACAAACAACTCCCTATTGCCAGCAAAAAGACTAGCAGACCTGCTGTATATCTTCTCTTGGTTGTTGAAATGTACGGGGAGACCAGTAGTCTCTATAGTCTACAGAGAGACCAGCAGAGTTATTGTGTACTATAAGACCTAACATTCTCTCTACTTTTCAAACAGACCAACAACTCCCTCTTAGACAATAGACATAGACTAGCAGTTCCTGTGGTCTACAGCAGGACTAGCATCTCCTCTCTTGGTTGTTAAAGTCTCCAGAGAGACCAGCAGTCCCTCTAGTCTACAGAAAGACCAACAGCCCACAAAATGTCTGGCTCTCCTTCTAGATGAGCAGAAAGTGAGACAGGCAAACAGGAAGTGACAGGGACAGGCTTGCATACCACTAGGTGTCTGCATCTATAGGTCTGATGACTGCATCACCATGACAACCCCATGGAGGTTGAGAGGAGTGTAATGCTGCTGGGTTCAGAGAGTCGTTCTGCACATAAATTCCCACAACCAGCCCTCAAGGATGAAACATTTAAAGGCAAAATTACTGCTCAATTACATAATTTATTTCATTACTATTTCAAATGAATGTCATTGTGCCTCTTCCTCTTCCTCTTCGCATTTTGGCAGTAACGAAGTGCACATCATGGCTTCAATAGCCACCTCCTCCGCCTTAAAAGAAGAAAATCTCCTGCACAGAATCCATTAAATATGTATCTGCCTCTCTATTCTTCCCTCTGTGTGTGTCTGTTTCTACCAGCATCTCTCTCTTCCTCTTTGTGTGTGTGTGTGTGTGTGTGTGTGTGTGTTAGGAACCTGATGTTTGCACAGTGGATCTTAGAGTTGGCCCCATGCCATCAGGCAAAGAGTGCTGCTTTGTAACATCTCAAACGCCAAAGAACACTCAAACGGAGAAGAAAGGAGAATGATGTCAAAGTCAGCTGGATTTCTGATGGTACACTGTGTAGTTTGTTCGAGGGGGAGAGACTGTGTAGAGCAGAGAAGAGGGTTAGGATGGTGTGCATGAATTTTTCAGAAAGGAGAGATTAAACACCCAGAAAGAATCTATCTATAATAGAACAAATCAACCTGCACAGGGTTCACTGCACCAGAAAGGAAGAGGAAGAATCCTTGTGCTGAAGACAGATAATATGAAAGATGCAGCAAAAATCTAGAGAAAGAGGTACATGCTGGTCTGACAGGGTGGGCAATATGACTTTATGTTACTGCAATTGCAATACTTGCACCACAATATGCTGTCCTAACCTGAATGCATTTGTGGGTGGAGCATGGATATGACAAATGCAAGCTTAAACAGAGATTTAGACCTGTCGTTGAGAGCCTGTAAACAACGACAATGTTTGAAGGTGAAGTTAGATCAAATTTAAACTGCATAGTAACATAGAGCTAATTGGATGTTAGCCCACTATGTTAAATCATAACATTATGACCACCTCCTTGTTTCTACACTCATTGTCCATTTTATCAGCGCCACTTACTATATAGGTGCACTTTGTAGTTCTACAATTACAGACTGTAGTCCATCTGTTTCTCTGCATACTTTGTTAGTCCCCTTTTACCCTGTTCTTCAGTGGTCAGGACCGCCATGGACCCTCACAGAGCAGGTACTATTTGGGCGGTGGATCATTCTCAGCACTGCAGTAACACTGATGTGGTGGTGGTGTGTTAGTGTGTGTTGCGCTGGTCTGAGTGGATCAGACACAGCAGTGCTGCTGGTGTTTTTAAACACCTCAGTGTCACTGCTGGACTGAGAATAGTCCACCAACCAAAAATATCCAGCCAACAGCGTCCTGTGGGCAGCGTCCTGTGACCACTGATGAAGGACTAGAGGATGACCAACACAAACTGTGCAGCAGCAGATGAGCTATGGTCTCTGAGTTTACATCTACAAGGGGGAATGACAAGGTAGGAGTGTCTAATAGAGTGGACAGTGAGTGGACACAGTGTTTAAAAATTCCAGCAGCACCGCTGTGTCTGATCCACTCGTACCAGCACAACACATACTAACACACCACCACCACATCAGTGTTACTGCAGTGCTGAGAATGATCCACCACCCAAATAGTACCTGCTCTGTGAGGGTCCATGGGGGTCCTGACCACTGAAGAACAGGGTAAAAGGGGGCTAACAAAGTATGCAGAGAAACAGATGGACTACAGTCTGTAACTGTAGAACTACAAAGTGCACCTATATAGTAAGTGGAGCTGATAAAATGGACAATGAGCGTAGAAACAAGGAGGTGGTCATAATGTTTTGCCTGATTGGTGTATTTTTACCATATTGCCCACTCCCTTGTCTGTATGTGTGTGAAGGGAGAGTGGGCGCGCAGGCCAAAAGGGTGCCATGACCTGTATCTCTCTAAATACACAGATGATCAGAGTCAGATTGCTACATTCAGCTGCGCAACACTCTGTAAACAAAATCTGTCTCCAAACTCCACCCAACACACTCACACAGTGTCCAGGGGGACCGCGGGAAGGGCTGAGAGTTGATGGCTTATACTATTGGCAGGGTAGTGAGAGTGAGACATGTCCATCTTATTTTGTTGTGTTGGATCACAGCCTGGGGTTCCTAACCTTTTTTGTCAGCTGAACTCAAGTACAATAAAGTTAAATGAGATCTTTCATTGAAAGCTATAACTGTTTTAAGCTTTGCAACCTATTCAACTTGTTTTGTGGCCTGGATTGCATATTTTCTTTCCACATGTCTTTTAAAGAAAGCTGCTCCAAACACATCACACATTAACGCCTGGCCATCTCACTGTCTGTGCACGTAAATTTCAATTTTCCGACTCATCTTCAGTGACCTACGTTATATCTACGTTCCCAGGACCATATCGCATTTTTGACGTTTTTTTAGTTTTTGACATATTTTGAAAATGGCTGTTGTCCTTTACATGTAAATTTCATGATGAATGGACCAAAAGAAATGACCCAAAATTACTTGGAAAAAAAACCCTTTTTCCTTTGTTTTCTGGGTCCTATGTTCCCATGTTCCTTTGTTTTCTGGGTGCATGTTACCAGGACCTTATGTTCCCTGGGTCCTATATTCTCTTATTCTCAGGGTCTTGTGTTGCCAGGGCCCTTTGTTTCCATTTTCTTATGTTCCCAGTGTCATATGTTCCCATTTTGCTATGTTCTCAGAGTCTTATGTTGCCAGGGTCCTATATTCCCAAGGTCTTATGTTACAAGGATTCTATGTTTCCTGGGTCTAATGTTCCTTGGGTCCTATGTTCTCAGGGTCTTATGTTCTTATTTTCCTATGTTCCCAGGGGCCTTTGTTCTCTGGGTCCTATACACCCAGGGGCCCTATGTTTTCAGAGTCTTATGTTGTCATGGTCCTATGTTTCTAGGGTCCTATCTTCCCAGGATTCAATGTTCCCATGGCCCTATGTTCTCAATTTCCTGTGTTTAGTGGACATTATGTTCCCAGGGCCCTACGTCCCTAGTTGTCTATGTTCCCAGGGCCCTACGTCCCTGGGGTTCTATGTTCGCAGAGCCCTATGTCCCTAGGGTTCTATGTTCCCAGGGCCCTATGTCCCTAGGGTTCTATGTTCCCAGGGCCCTATGTCCCTAGGGTTCTATATTCCCAGGGTCCTATGTCCCTAGGGTTCTATATTCCCAGGGTCCTATGCTCCAGGGCCCTATACTTTCTCAGCTCTTCATATGCTGCATTAAACCTCAATATGACACATGAAGGAAACCTATGAAAGGGTTCCTAAGGGCATCGATAGGATCCTAGGGTCACCAAAGGTCATACAGGGGGCCACAAAGAGCCATTTTTAAAATAGAAATGAACATTACCTCAGTTACACAAGACTTTGTAATTATCAGGGTTTTATGTTTCCAGGGTCTTATGTGCCTTGGGTCCTATGTTCTCATGTTCTTATTTTCTTATGTTCCCAGGGGCCTTTGTTCTCTGGGTCCTATATTCCCAGGGCGCTATGTTTTCAGAGTCTTACGTTGCCACAGTCCTATGTGTCCAGGGTCCTATCGTCCCAGGATTCAATATTCCAATGGCCCCATGTTCTCAATTTCCTGTGTTTAGTGGACATTATGTTCCTGTAAAGCAACCTGTTTTTGGGACTGATCAGAGTATAGCATACATATATTTTGTCAGTATTAGCTTTGTCTGGTTAAAGTGTGGTGCGCTTCTTTTTGTTGTTGTTGCTAGTTGTGTAGCCTTTAGCAGAGTCAAGTAGCAAATCTGAATGTCATAGTTTTGAATGGATGTTGCATCAGATAACAATGATTTATGGCCAAGTTTGTGGGCATCATGGATTCGCCAAACGGGAAATGGTGTGGCACGTTAATGAGGGCATGTCAGAAACAGCACTAAAACAGAAGGTAAATGTTGTCATTGACGATGTGCTTCAAGATTTCAATGTTAGCATGATTGCAGGCTTTGGTAATCTTTTGCAATGTTGCTAATATTGTGAGGTTCAAACAAAATCATGATTAAAAACACTTAAGTTTCACATTCTTGTTCAGTGAAACGTACAGAGGTTGTAATAAGAGAATATATTTGGATCTATTTCAGACTTTTTTTTTTTACATATATCGGAATGCATGTTAGTAGAAATATCAGAATTTTGAGCATTAGTCTTATTTTTCATGTTGAGGACACATGATTGAGGCAACATGGGGCTGAAACATGGGCTTATGGGAACAAAGAGTCCCTGTAAATTTATAAAGAGGGAACAAAGTGCCATGGAAGCACAGAGCCCTAGGAAAATAGGGCCCTAGAAACATGAGACCCTGAGAACATAAGACCCTGGAAACATAACGATAAAATGACAAATAATGTAATATCAAGAATGATAAATAATCTAACATCATTATTCATGTGAGTTATGTGAGGCATTCTGCATATTAATGTTATTACAATTACATTCTCAGTGTCTTAGTCTCAGTTGTTATGGAATCATCCACAGCTCTCGTCATCATTTTTCACAGCTTTCTACTAATTAGTTGAAATACAAACATTTAAACGGCAGAATCAATAAACAAAAAATAAAGCAACAATATTAAAAAGTCAAATGATCTTTTAATTACATGAAACAGTGCAAAACAAATTCACAAAATATACAAAACTTACAATAACTTTCTATAAAATATATACATGAATTATTCACATAAGACTGGAAAAATATATTTCTTATGAAAATACATATTTGACAGATAATAAGGAGGGGGGGACAGTTGGAGAGGGGGTGGGGGGCGAGAGAGAGAGAAAAACAAAGTGAGTGAGACAGCTGACCAGAGACGGAGCTGAATATCCAGATGGTCTGGCAGTACAGAGAGTGAGAGTCGTTGGACGGAGAACCAGAAAACGTGAAATGTCATATTCACCAGGAAAAATAATCAAGTGTGTGTGCCAATGATGCATTTCTGTAAACCCAATGCTGACGATGCAGAAGTGCATATACCTGTACACAAACATCCAGAGCACTGCCGTTTCATGCATTCATTCTAAAGTGAACATAATGAACTGAACTTACTAAGGACTTTGAGTTAGACTTGTTAGAACTGGGGCTGCAACAAATATTCAATAAAATTTGATAAATTCAATAATTGAAATGTTGAAAAACAGAAAAGCAACGTGAACTAAAGGGGGATGTTTCGTGAACAAACTTTAAATTGGCTTGTAAAAGCAACTGCTATAAAATCACTGGTGGCTGCTAAGGTGTTTCTATATGATTCCAGGTGGTTCCTAAGATGTTACTAGGCTGTTGCTATGGAATCCCAAGTAGTTGTTAAGGTGTTGTTAGGCTGTTGCTACGGTCTCCCAGGTGGTTGTTAAGATGTTGCTAGGCTGTTGCTATGGAATCCCAAGTGGCTCTTAAGGTGTTGCTAGGCTGTAGCTATGATATCCCAGATGGTCGCTAAGATGTTGCTAGGCTGTTGCTATGGTATCCCAGGTGGCTGTTAAGATGTTGCTAGGCTTTTACTATGGTATCCAATGCAGTTTCTAAGGTGTTGCTAGGACACTGCTATGGTATGCCAGATTGCAAAAATGCTGCTAGGCCATTAATATGGTGTCCCAGGTGGTTGCTAATGTGTGTATATATTTATTGTGCATTCCACCATTCATTTCCTACAGGAAAATACTGTATTTGAATGAAGGGTCCCAAAAGTGCAAGCACACTATTCCTGTATAGGCTCTACGATCCTGCAAAGTTTTGTGGTTCTAGCTCAAAAGACGCAGCCAGTGAAAATGAGAAAAAAACCCTTTTATTTCCTAGAATAAATGGCAGCGTGCTGGTTAGCGAGCTGTCCGTCCGGAGCAGTAAGAAACAAATTAAAACTGCACCAGTAGATAAGACACATGCTCATGTATAAAGCATTTTGAATTGCTTAAAAACCTACGTAAGGTCTAAAACATAGTTACCCTTTTGCTCACTGACAAAAGTTGACCAAAAAGAAATTTTCAGTTTATAAGACAATGTGGTTAAAAAGACACTGTTTCATCTGCTCTCCTGCTCCGCACATCACTGACGCGGTCAAACATTCTCAGCAACCTGAGCTGGGTTTGGGTAGGATCCTGCAGAACTGCATTGTATACTACTTGCTATGATAATAATTGTTTAACTGTGATGTTTTTCCATGAACTTGTAGCATTTCAACTATAATAATAAAATTATACATTTCATGTTAATAATTAAATGAAAAATTATCTTGCGCTTTCCTTATTCCTATAGAACGTTTGAATATTTGAGATAAAATTTGAAAATGAAAACATTCGATAGTTGCAGCCCCAGTTAGAACAGGAAAAACTTGACTGGCGCTTGACTGAGCATGTGCCACAGTTCAGATTGGGAGATTTGTCTTTAGTAGTTGTTTGTGCTTTATGAAGTACGTGGAGGGGGGTGTATGTGTGTTAGGAGCATTTCCACACACACACAGCAAGACTTCCCCCAAAGAACATGTAGAGAAGGTTCTTCACCTCGTGCGTGATCTCGAAGCCGAAGCCCTCTCCGATCACCACGTGCCACGAGCTGCCAAACTTCTTGTCCATCGACTCCTTTATCATCTTAGCCGCGCTCTAAAAACCCAGAAAGAGACAGAGAACGCATTAAAAGGTTTCAAATTCTGCAACTAGGGCTTAATGAATGAATAACTCATTAACCTGATCAACGTATGTGATCAAACAGCTCATCAATCAATCAACGCCTTATTGACTTAGATGACACCAGATCAAAGTTCATAAATATTTTTGCAAGTGAGTCCCAATACAACCTCCTGGCACTTCTGCTGCTTTTTAGTCCAGAACCTGTCTGGTCTTAGAAACAACCAGAGGCACTGGGCAAAAATGTCCACACACTGGACATCGTTGTCCTTTAAAAACACATGTACACGGCAGAAAATGCATCCAACATAACGTGTTAATGGGCCTTTAAACAGCATTTTTTGATTTCTTAGATTGGATTAAGGCCGTTACTGGATTTATAGAAAATGCCATAAGGAGAGCTGTATTTCAGCTCAGTAATGTATACCCTTACACTGATTTCTTTCATTTGTCTCAGTCCGTGTGCAAAAACAGAGCAATGTCTCGTGAGATGACAACAAAGCACTTTTAGAGTGGCGTTGAAACCAACTCCATGCTTGATGAATGTTTTCCAGTTATCTGATTACCCAAGTGCATGTAAATGTGTTGAATGGATTCTGCAGTTATCAGACTATTAAGTGCATGTAAACACACTCATTGAGACACGTCATGGGTCCCATACAAACAACAAATGCTCTGATTTCTGACTTGCTGCTGAGAGCAGTGGTGAGTAACGTTTGTTTATTTGAGCTTGAGGTCAACAACATCCAGAAACGCCGCTGACTTCTCTGGACTCGATGATCTGAAAGGGACTGATGCATTCTGAAAAACGTGTACAGTGGTCTGACAAGTTGACCTTTCAGATTGTTTATGGAAATAATGGACGTCACGTTCTCTGGGTCAAAGAAGAAAAGGACAATTCAGATGGTTACTGGTGTAAAGTTCAAAAGCCAGCGCCTGTCGTGGCATAGGATATTTTGGAGCAATATATGCTGCCTTCAAGATGACGTCTTTTTCAGGGACGTCCATGCTTATTACAACATGACAACACCAAGAAACATTCTGTCATCAAGTAAAATGGCTATATTTGTGCTGCAGATATTGCGCCCCCTGATTTCTATCTCCACCACTGTACAGAAATCTGATCTGTTACATTTCTCTAAGATGAAGCATTTCACATGACGTTGAAATAGACAGATAAAGACAGAAAACACACCTCATTATTGGTGGCAAATTTCTCACACGCTGTAACACACAGCTCCATGGTCTCCACTCTCATTTCCTCTGGCATGTCTGTATGCTGCAAGACAAAAAAAAATAGATGCAGAATGAGGGACTGATAGTGCTGAGACTCTGTAAACTGAGAGACAGGAAAGAGAGGGAGACAACTGAGACACAGACAGAGACAGAGATTCTTTAAATAGCGCAAAACCTGTCATGTCACACCATGCATCACACTTAAAGCAGTGAGATATATCACTCCCACCTTTTTGGTGTTCTAATCAGATGCATCATTTAACTGTGACCACACTACCATGTGTGTCATTCACTGTGAGCGGATGTCCGCTCTGTTCTTCTGTTTGGAACTGTTGGCTACAGTTACACCCACACTACACATTATTTTCTAATCTATTTCAGTAGCCTATAAAAGAATCATTACAAAGATCTGTCTTAAAGCCACCTTTAAGATGACATATCAGAAAGAAGACACTGAAATTTCACAACATTGTGGACAAAAATATACAGTCAGGTCCATAAGTATTTGGACATTTACACAATTTTTGTAATTTTGCCTCTGTACACCACCACATAGGCTTTGAAATGAAGCAGTGAAGATATGACTGAAGTGTAGACTTTAGCTTTAAATCAAGGGCTTTAACAAAAATAATGCATTAACTGTTTAGGAATCACATAGTCCCTTCATTTTCACAGGCTCAAAAGTAATTGGACAGTTGACTGATAAACAAGTTTCATGGCCAGGTGTGGCTTGTTTCGTTGTTCGTCGCCAAATTAAGGGTGTAAAAGGTCTGGACAACAACATCTAGTCAAGTCGAGGATATTCTAGAGGAGGTTGGCGTACCACTGTCAAAATTTGCCCAGCTCTGGAACAAGATTCCTTGGACAGAAGAACCCAAGACTAACCAGTACCAGAGTATGTAGAATGGAGAGTATGGCGAAAGAAAGGAAGCGCTAATAACCGGAAGCATACATCATCATCTGTCAAACATGGTGGGGGTAGTGTTATGGCATGGGCATGTATGGAAGCCAATGAAACTGGGTCATTGATGTTTATTGATGATGTGACTGCTGATAGAAACAGAAGGATGAATTCTGAAGTGTACAGACCTATACTTTCTGCTCAGATTCAGTCAAATGCTGCAAAACTGATTCACAGTACAGATAGATAATGACGCAAAACATACCACTAAAGCAACCCAAGAGCTTCTTATGGCAAAGAAATGGAATGTTGTTAAATAGTCGTCAGTCACCTGACCTCAACCCAACTGAGCATGATTTTCACTTACTGAAGACAAAACTGAAAGCAGAAAGCCCCACGAACAAGCAGCATCTAAAGGCGGCTGCAGTAAAAGCCTTGCAAAGCATCTCAAGCGAGGAATTTGGTGATGTCCATGGCTTCCAGACTTCAGGCAGTCACTGAGTGCAAAGGATTTGCATCCAAGTATTAAAAATAATCCCTGTATTTATAATTATGTTAGTCTGTTATAGTAGTTAGAAATAAAAAGATGAAAAAATAATGTATTCTCTTTGTCATATTTTCAGTTACTCCTCTAGTTAAAAAATGAGCAGCTTGTATTTTTGATACACTGTATTGTTCTTGCTCTAAAATCAATCATCTTTGTATATGTTTTTCCAGCTGTCACCGCCATTTATTTATCTAGGGTTCTTTACTATATATTTGAGCTTTTTAACTGTTGAGTGCATGTTAAGCTTTTCTTAACTGTTACAGTTACATAACCTACTTGATGCCTGGCCCAAATTTTTCAACCACCCAGTAAACCATCTTCTGTTTAATTCTCTTGTCCATTGATCCAGTGAAATCATTCGTTTGAAAGTATGACGTTTGATGTAGTCATGTGATGTGTTAACTCAAGTTATCTCTTGGCTGTTTCGTGAACCTTGTTCCATAAAGTTGAGATGCTTGCAACTGTTGCTGCTGAGTTTCAAGTGAGTTGCAGGATGCTTTACATTATGCTATTCAAGCACAATTTAGTTTCATGTAGGTTGAGTGAAAGTTTCACCCTGTTAAGCCAGCCTAAGAAGGTCTTTGGTTTCTGCAGCAGTCAACCTCTTTAATGAACAGCTTTTCTAGTGAACACAGTGAACACTGAACCACAGAGATGCGGAACCACAAGCAGCTGATATTGTGTCTCACATTTTGTGAAAGGGCTATATCTATATATGGAAATATACAAACACGACGAAATATGACTCACATTTCTAGTATTAAATTGTGCAACTCTGAATGTACTGGTAGTTTGTTAAATCACATGCCTAAACACACACACACACACACACACACACACAAACACACACAGACAAACATTATCTCAGCTGCTTATTCTCTGGGGGGTGCTGGAGCCTATCCCAGCAGTCACTGGGCAGAAGGCAGGAAACACCCTGGACAGGTTGCCAGTGCATCACAAGGCAGACACACACACTCACACCTTGGGGCAATTTAGTGTGTCCAATTGGCCTGACTGCATATCTTTGGTCTGTAGGAGGAAACCCACACAGACACGGGGAGAACATGCAAACTCCACACAGAAAGGACCCCAGTCGCCTGAACCCAGGCTCTTCTGAACCTGAACCATCAGATATGAACTGCCTCTTATGCTCAGTGCGTGGAAAAAATATTTTCTTGTTTGGATTACACTTTGGTTAAAAATGTGCATTCAGATAGCAAAACGTGGTAAAACATAACACAACAGAGGCCCTGGAGAAATAGGACTATTTGCCCACACATATTATAACATAGCACTAGGGATGCATGATCAGAATCAGCCAAATTTGGAAATGGTCAAGATCAGAATTAGCACATTTATGCTCAAAAATGCCATCAGCAACCAGACAATTTATTATTTTTAATTTGGCTGATCTATGTTGCAACTTGTGCTGTATTTGAATGCTACTGCTCTTCTTACTTTTAATGTAGCTCTTTATCTGTTGAATGTCTTTATCTGTTTTTTTTCCATTTCCATCCAGATTTTCCAGCAAATAATGGTTATTTATACTGCAGCTTTTGCTAATTAAGTCATGGAAATGTGCTAGTGTGTTTCATGTGTTCACTGAGCCCACACATTGTGAGCTTTGGTTTTGAAAAAAAAGCAGGCTAGTATATAACTCTGCCAATTTGGCTGTAAAGAAATTGAGAGATGGGTGCCTCCCTACATGGAACTGTATATGTTTTACCTTATACTTTATTAGCAAACTAATAGTCTGTTCTAGGGCCTGCTTTATTCTATTAACACACCTTTAACAAGGTGACACATCACCTCCACTTTGGTAGAATAGCCTAAAACTACACTCCTGCTAAAGTACTGCTACTTCACATTGTTACTTACATTAAACAGAAGAATAGATGTAGCTACAAAAAACAACTTTGGTAAAAAATGTAGCAGATCAAAAAAACTGAAGTACTCTGATCCCTATAGATCTACAGAACATCTTGGTACATCCAGCATCTATCAGGAACTGAAGTTTGTTAGGCTCTACTGCTCTCTAATTTGGATTATTTTGGTCTAAAATCAAATGCTTACGCTTGAAAGTGAGAGGTGTCAGCTGCTGAACCAACAGAACAGAATGAAATTAAAGCCCAAAATAGGAATTCGGGACTAAATGTGAGGGAGCAAAATTGAACTGAAGTGCATGAAAGTTAAGGTAGTGAGGTAAAGATAGCTAATCACTAATGCACCATTGTATGACCATGTAGACAACGTTATTGTGCTTTCATTGCATGTAACTTGATAGAAAATGTTAAATGACGTGAGTCTTAAGGAAGGTTGAACAATTTGGGCAACGTTTTTAAAAATTTAATTGCAACTTTTCTGACCAATATTGTAACTGTGATTTAAATCGTGATCATTTTATATAAATTGAGCTCCATGCCTTTTTTAGGCCAAGAAGACTAGTGTATCCACTTTTTCTGGCTTTAACATAGCCAGTTACCACCGCAGACTGCCAGTTAATTGTGCCTGTGTTCATGTACACAGCACCTGGGTTGTTTCTGATTGGTCTAACTCATCTACAGGTGGTTCACAAGCTCCATGTTATTACATTAAATTTTCCCACTTAAAATTTGCTTGTGCAAAGTAGTAGTTAACATAGGCAAATTGCAATTCCGATAGAAAACTGATCCACCTTTCAGGCCTAGTCTTAAGAGCTGAATAAGGAAGGTGTGGATTCTCACCCTAATCAGAGGGAAACTGTGCAGTCTCTTGTAGTCTGCTTCGTCCTTCTTGCTCTCAGCTGTTTCTGCCATGTTTTTAGTTCTGTAGAAAGAAATACACAAAAACAGTTACAAGACAACTTGTAAACAGTTTCTAAAGATAAAAACAGATATTCTATAAGACAATTAGCACCAGAGACTTGATCCTACTATTGTATAACAGTGGCATTTCAGCCTAAAACTATAGTTATGTCGTTGGTCATGTTACACAATATTCTCTAGTGCGGTATTATATCCCTCAGCCTCATTAAAAATCACAATTTTATCTCATTTTATCTCATTATCTCATTCATCAATTGTTCTCACTACAATACCCAGCATGCAATATGCAAATACATCATACAAACTTTGGAAATCTATCTTTATTCAGCACACGGTGGGACCAGAGATGGGCAGAGAAAAGAAACCAAACTTCAGCTACCTTCCTAACTTCAGCTTTCATCTTGTTGCCCTCCACATCTGATAAGTCATCTCTGCCATTTGAGTAGTTCATTCTTTCTATTGTAGTGATGATTTGAGGACAGTTACTACAAGTTCATGGCTCAACAAGATGTTCGGCCCTCTAGAAGTAATGTCGGATACCTGCCTTACTTCTGCATTCACTAGCTAATGAAAAAATGTCCCTTTAAAATCTAAAGTTTTAAATGTATTCACTGTTTTTTCACCAAATCCTTTTTTAAAATAGAGCCCTGTAATTGAAACCCAAGTTCCCATTCATCATTGTCCAGAGCCCCGAAGGTGACATTCTGATTATTTTTTAATAAGTTGAGGGCATAAATCAATTTACTGAGGCCACAAATTAATATATTGCAGCCATGAGTTACTATACTGAGGCAATGAGTTCCTATATTGATGCCAAAATTAATATATGGAGGCCACGAGTTACTATACTGAGGCCACAAATTACTAACGGAGTACACAAATTACTATATTGAGGCTATGAATTATTATATTGAGGCCAAAAATTACAATATTGAGGTCATAAATTAATATACTGAGGCCATTGAGGCCATGAGTTACTGTATTGAGGCCAAGAGTTACTATACTGAGGCCACAAATTACTATATTGAGGCTACTTACTGTACTGAGGCTATGAATTATTATATTGAGGCAGCAATATTGATATATATTAATTTGTGGTCCCGTGTTATTAAAAAAATAATCACAATTTAACGTTAAGGGCCCTGTATCATTATCTTATCGTAGAAAGAGCACTGTTTGGGTTCTGTTTACTGAAGAACATGGGTTTGGTTCCTATGGTCATCCACAGGGATAGAGAGAAGCAGGACACAGCAGTTTACTCAACTACATGCTGGCATACCTGATGCTACATGGTTTTGCTGACTGACCACAACTTGTCAATGCGATTTTTGAAACGTCGTTTGTAAGGACACAGTGGAATTTCGGTATTACTGCATTACTAAAGCATGACAGTACTAAGAGATATGTCTTAACCTTACTACACAGCACCAGCCTATTTTTGTGACTATGGTGACCAAACCTGTTAGAAAACGAAGACAGAGATTTTACAGAAACTGGAGCAGCTAGAGACGTTAGAAAATTACGTTATATTCAACAAAACGAAGATACTCTATGAATGTCAGCCAAGCTAGCAAGCTAAGCTAAACCACAATGAATGCTGAAAATGACCTGTTGAGTTGCTAAATGAACCGATATCTATAGTTAAAGTTAAGCTGTATCCACCTGTCGAGGTCGAGGGATGTTATGACCCACCCAGCACATCTAATTAAAAGAACAGGCAGGGATACGTTAGCATGCATGCTAGCTGGCTATCTGGCCAGCAAGTAAGCTGGAGCTGCAGTGAACGGCTCTGACTGACTGCACTCTCTCGCGGCTGAGTGTACAGCTGAGCTTCGAGCTCTGCTCAGATCTGTGTCACGCCATAAACGACTTGTTCAACACTGCGACGTTCAGAAACAGAAAACGAGACAGAAGTTATCTAGAACCTTACGTACTAACAAAGACAACAGAACTCACAGGCCCCTGGCAACCCGCTGCGTCGTTAAGGAGACATTTTGACCATAGCAACCAGCTAGCGACTGCAAAGACCCCGCCCACCGGCGGCGCGCTGTCAATCTCAGCCAATCGTGACTTAAAAGACGATGACGTCGACGACCATAACAATTAAAAAAAGTTTTTTTTTTTTACAATATTGCTAGGTTTCTATTGAATCTACAAATTCATTATTTCTAAAAGTAACTTGGAAAAAATCTTTAAAAAAATAATATAACTATATTTAGGTAAACTATAAGTTTACCAGTAAATCCTGGCATAAGTTTATTCAATATATTTGTTGATTGCTCTTAAATGATCAAATAAATAAATAATCCACTCTATTAGACACTCCTACCTTGTTTGTCCACCTTGTAGATGTAATGTCAGAGACAGTAGCTCATCTGTTGTTGCACAGTTTGTGTTGGTCATCCTCTAGTCCTTAGCAGTGGTCACAGGACGGTGTTGGCTGGATATTTTTGGTTGGTGGACTATTCTGAGTGCAGCAGTGACACTGAGGTGTTTAAAAACTCCAGCAGCACTGCTGTGTTTTGAGATACAAGGTTTTAAACATGTACACTAACCAAGCAATTTATTAGGAACACCTGTAAACCTCATTCATGTAATTATCTAATCAGCCAATTGTGTAGTAGCAGTGCAGTGCATAAAATCATCATGATCTCGGTGATTTTGCCCATAGCATGATTGATGGAGCCAGATGGGCTGGCTTGAGTATTTATTTAGTTATTCCATAACTGCTGATCTTCTGGGATTTTCACACACAACAGTTTCTAGATTTTACTCATAATGGTGCAATAACTGGATTAAAACATCCAGTGAGTGGCTGTTCTGCAGACAGAAATGCCTTATTGATGAGAGAGGTCAGCGGAGAATGGCCAGACCGGTTTGAGCTGACAGAAAGGCTATGGTAACCCGGATAACCAGTCTGTACAATTGTGATGAACAGAAAAACATCTCAAAATGCACAACACGTCAAACCTTAAGGTGGATGGGCTACAACAGCAGAAGACGGCAGGTTCCACTTCTGTCAGCCAGAACAGAAAGCTTAGGCTGCAGTGGCCCCTGGCTCACCAAAACTGGACAGTTGAAGACTGTAAAAATGTAGCCTAGTCTGATGAATCTTGATTTCTGCTGAGGCACACAGTCCGTAGGGTCAGAATATGGCACCAACAGCATGAATCCATGGACTCAGTCTGCGTTGTTTCAACAGTCCAGGCTGGTGGAGGTGGTGTAATGGTGTGGGGAATGTTTTCTTGGAATATTTTTCACCCATTAATACTAATGAATCATGGTTTAAATGCCACAGACTATTTGAGTATTGTTGCTGACCATGTGCATCTGTTCATGGCCACAATTTACCATCTTCAAATGGCTACTTCCAACATGATAATGCACCATCTCACAAAGCAAAAGTCATCTCAAGCTGGTTTCATGAACATGACAATGAGTTTAGTGCTCTTCAGCGGCTGTCCCAGTCGCCGGATCTGAATCCAATAGAACATCTTTGGGATGTGGTAGAACAGGACATTCACAGCACCTGAAAAATCTGCAGGAATTGAACGATGAAATCATGTCAACATAGACCAGAATCTCAAAGGAATGTTTCCAACATCTTGCGGAATCCATGCTATGGCAAATTGAGGATGTTTTGAGAGCCCTACCCAATATCAGCATAGTGTTCCTAAAAAAGTGCTCTTTAAATATACAGTGAGTGTATATTTTCCTATATTTTTTATTTGAATTTATGTTGATAGCAGCAAAAAGAGATATTTTGTTGTACTGTTGCAAATAAAGGTTGTGATTCTGATTCTGTGTTGACTATCGATGAGAACATCAGTGAAGCTCAGCATAAACCTCTTGCTCTCTCTCTCTCTCTCTCTCTCTCTCTCTCAGGCTTGCCTGACCTAAATTTTTGACGCTGCCACATCTGGCTGCTGCAGGTGATTCTGCTGCTGCCCCAGATATCTCTGACTGCAGTTCTGACCGGACAGCACGAGAGAGCTTAGACACGCATCTGGCATGTATCCCGATGTATCCAAGGCCAGAGTTGGGCTTGTTTTCATACCGAGAGTTACATGATGCAGACCAACCCACCCCAAACTCTACACACACACACACAGCATTGCCTTTGTGCAAAATAATATCATCTATTATTTATATGCTACACTGCAAGTGTACCGAAGTGTCTCGCTAGTGATAAAATGAAAACTGGCGAAAGCTTTTATCTTTAACGTCCCATAAACAGACATGACAGGCAATATGATTCAAACTAATGCTAGCTAAGTTACTTAAGGTCAGCATTTCTGACTGGCCACCTGCTCAGATGTCCTCCTTAAGTAGTTTTTCTTGTCTTTTTGGTTGTTTCTTGATTTTTTTTTGCAGTTCTTGCCAAAAAAAAATGCTATAAAAACAGTAATGAACTCTGTGGAGCACGGCCTGTTGTATCAGCCAGTGCCAGATTCACACCATGATGCTGAATTAATCTGTTCCACCTTAACTAATGAAGCAGTTACACAGTAGTATGTATTAGTATGAATGTAACTGCTATGTCATTTAAGGTGGAACAGGAAATGAGAATAAGAAGCTAACTTCAGTTTCATCTAATCTCTATCCGCTATGCGAGACTCAGTTACAATCAGCAAACTGAGGCTCTAGCACTTGAGGTGGGCCGCTGGTTTAACCCCTAAATTACTACAGATATACACCGACTGGACACTTCATTAAAACCACCTTGTTTCTACACTCATTGTCCATCTGATCAGCTCCATTTACCATATAGGTTCCTTTTTGATTTCTACAATTACAGACTGTAGTCCATCTGTTTCTCTGCATACTTTGTTAGCCCCCTTTTACCCTGTTCTTCAGTGGTCAAGACCCTCACAGAGCAGGTACTATTTGGGTGGTGGATCATTCTCAGCACTGCAGTAACACTGATGTGGTGGTGGTGTGTTAGTGTGTGTTGCGCTCGTCTGAGTGGATCAGACACAGCAGTGCTGGAGTTTTTAAACATCTCAGTGTCACTGCTGGACTGAGAATAGTCCACCAACCAAAAATATCCAGCCAACAGCGTCCTGTGGGCAGCATCCTGTGACCACTGATGAAGGACTAGAGGATGACCAACACAAACTGTGCAGCAACAGATGAGCTACAGTCTCTGACTTTACATCTACAAGGTGGACTGACAAGGTAGGAGTGTCTAACAGAGTGGACAGTGAGTGGACACAGTGTTTAAAAACTCCAGCAGCGCTGCTGTGTCTGATCCACTCGTACCAGCACAACACACACTAACACACCACCACCACATTAATAATAATTAATAATCCACCCAAATATTACCTACTCTGTGGTGGTCCTGTGGGGGTCCTGACCACTGAAGAACAGGGTAAAAGGGGGCTAACAAAGTATGCAGAGAAACAGATGGACTACAGTCTGTAACTGTAGAACTACAAAGTGCTCATATATGGTAAGTAGAGCTGATAAAATGGACATTGTGTGTAGAAACAAGTAGGTAGTTTTATTGAAGTGGCTGGTCAGTGTACACTTGGATGTAAGATTTATAGTTCATGTGCTTCTAAGAGTGAGTTTATAGCTCACAGCCAGCCCAAAACACTATCAGCCCAGCATGAATTCTCCCAGCTCTCCTAATTACCCACTCCAGCATTGAATGCATCCAAGTAGATTGTGAAATATCACTGCAGGACTTCAGTTGCTTTAGGTTGCTTCAGTTTTTTTCCTATATTGATTGCACTATATTGATCTGTGTGCTCTAAAGTCTGGACACTGTCTTTGTCGTATGCACAGTCTGCATTAGCCATCCACTAGCTCAGGGGTGTCAAACACACGGCCCACAGCTCGATTATGGTTCTTATCTGCCTGACAGATTAATTTAGAATCCATGGTCTAAATTGAAATCATCTTGTGGAGCATAATTGAGTGTTTGCAAAATATTGACAGACCCGACTCTAAACCAATCACTATTTAGCACCCATCTCTATGCACTTAAACACTGTGAATGAAAAACCCCAGCAAAACTGTTCAGAACAAACCCAGAGTGACGCTGGTGGTAGATAATAGTTTTTGACCTGAGAGGTGACAGGTGTTGCTTACTTATGATGACATCCTCAGCATTATTGCACAGACTAATATTAGTCTGATCAGGTAATTTGTTTTGTATGTGATGTTCATTCAGTATCTTTTAGATAAATTACGATTAAATAAACACATTTATGAGGAGTTGTTAATGTGTTATTGGCCTACTAAAGCATGTCTGATATGCTTGCACCAGCACCACACACTACCATGTGAGTGTCACTACTACGCTTAGAGTGGTCCACCACGCAAATAATATCTGGACAAGAGTGGTCATGTGGTCAGACAACAACAGGCTACAGCCTACACTCTCAGAAAAAAAGTGTGAAACTGTCCCTGGGGCAGGACCCCTCTTGTCACTGGGGTGGTCCCCTCAAGGGAACATCTCAGTACATAACTGTACCATAATCCATTAAAATTATATTTTCTAAGGTGTACTGACTCCACACACCCCGTCTCATCTCCAGGCTTTTTATTTTATTGTTCTGTTTTAAAACTTTACAATATGAAAAGGTACAAATATGTACTTTTCACCTGGAAAAACTTATTTAAGGTTCATGCTTGGACCTTAAAAGCACTGTTGTACCTTTGAGGGAATATTTACATTGTTTGTACCTTGATAAATGAAAAATGTACCTTGCCAGAATCTTTATTTCTAACAGTGTGTAATTACACACCTAGCAGACCTATAAGGTCTAATTTTATGTTTATAATCTAAATAATACAAAAAGATATATTTAAGATTACTAAGATTATTTAGTTTATTTCAAGAAGAATCACATTTATCAGTCTTACTTAGAAATTCTACCTTTTTTAAGCCTTTTATAGCACAAAACAGGCACAAAGAGTTATAATTTTGTAATGCTGCCCTGTGCTGTTTTTTCTAGCAGGAAATGTAGTAAGCAAAATTTACTTCAAGTCTTACAATTT